TCCACGATCTCATCTATTTTTAATTGTTGAACTAAATTTAGCATTTGTGCGTGTTATTCTCTACTCCTATAGCTTTTTCGTGAATAATATATGATGACAAGAGGCAGTATTGAAAGTCATACATTTCACTACAAGATGAAATTTACACGAAAACGCCTTTATTCGTCCAGCAAATGCAATGTTCTCCTGCAAACTGCCATAAAGAAAGCTTTGTTGAAAAGTGCATTTTCTTGCACGAGAGACTGCTATTTTGATGTCATGCTCAACTATAGACAGCATCCTTTGGCTCCTTTGTGCTTTTTCATTGTTAAAGACTTCCCATTGAGAATTCACTGTGTCTTCAGTGCTGCTGTTCGGCATGCATAAAGGGAAATTCCGCTTTGCTCTCTATCAAGATTTTGTATGCTGAGAGAAGTCCAATGTTGGCCAAAAGCTCTCTCCGTGTTGATAATTTATTTTTATTTACGCCAGCCGACAATCGAAATTCCTCGGTTCAAGGTGAAAAAGTGATCACATATTTCTGTGAAGGCACAGTCGCACTCCTAAATGCTTGTACAAATTGCGACTTGTAAAAATTTGCCAGGCATTTTAATGGCAACAGAAAGTGAAAGGAAAGATGCGGTAAATCATTTGCAAATTGGGAGCAAATTCAGTGAGATTTTTCATAGTGAAAAATTGAAATTTTTTCCCACTTAATGCAATCGCACTAATGATATGAATTTATATGATTTGCAATATAAAGTTTTGAGCCAAAATTTATAAATAACACATGTCAGTTACTCCAAAATTTATCCACATCTTATAAATAGTTTAGTCTAAAAATACATAAGACTGCATAGAAAATGCAATATTCAGCAATCTATAATTATTCGACATAACGTGATATGTTAGATGCTGTTCGATTAATTGAAATTGAACACAGATAAATTATGGGTTGTCTCAATGTTCTTTTCATCAATTTTACCAATAAATATATATGTTTATGATCCAGTAAATTACACGACGCGTCATGCAATTTTAATTCTTCTTGCAAACACTTTTCGTGTTTGAATTTATCAATTTTTAATCTGTTCTCGAGAACAAATTGTTTTGAACAAACCGCAGAAAGTGTTGAAAGAAAAAATTCCGAGAACATCTATCCATAATCCATGAAAGAGAGAAGTTCACGAGGTGTGTAAATATTTGTGTGTTTCACTGTATAGTGAGACGCCCAGGAGAGTAAAAACAACTTTTTGATACAATATGAGAAACTAATTTTGAATTCTCAAAAATAACACCGCCAGGAACATTGAGGAACAATTTCCGGATGAAAAGTTCGCAAGTTTCCAAAGTAAAATCAATTTTATAATTAGCACAGTTTTCACTCATTTTATGCAACGACCATTGAGAATAATGCACTTCACCTGCATATGGATTTTTCTGCTGATGGAATTCCTTGTACGGTTGCGCAATGATTGCTGGCACATCAATTGTGTGTCTGTGTGTGCCATCATAAGTAAATATATTCTGCATTATTTTAGCATAACATTATATCGACATGTCGCTGATTGCATGAAATTCTCCTCCGCATGATTCTCTTCTCTTTTCCAACCGTGTGTGTGTTTTTCTCTCATATCGTGGCGACTATAAATAAAATAATTAATTCTTAATGAAGAGTTGATTATCTCGCTGTGACTAACGATGCATTGAAGCGGTCATTAGCTTTGAATGTTGGGCGATGACTGCAAAATCACTTTCTATTGTGCAACATATTATACACATTATGTTGGGTCAGTCGCAGCGGTGAAAAGAGACATTGTGACCCGCGACCTTTCATCCCTCTCGGCAAGCACATTCCCAAAATTGCCGCCAAGAGGTTGCTAATTTTGATTTTCAGAGCTACAGAGTTTCATTCAAAATTCAAACATCTTAGAAAATAGGATCACAAATGATCGATTCTGTGCGGAATTTAGAGAAAGGGTGAAAAATGAGATAAATTTTGGCAACTAAAGGGCAAAAACTTAAATAGAAGATTGTGTAAGACACATGTATTTTATGGGTGTAAAAAGATAATTGTCCTAAACTTTAAGAAGAACTTATTAATACTGAATGATTAAAGAACATTTTATGGTTTTAGATATTCTAGAGGTTCTCGTTTTGGCAAAAATTAGAAAGTTTTTCCATTGTCACAAAGTTTTAATAAGTATTAAGCGAATAAGTATTTAAGCAATTTTGTCTATTCATTGCGGTGTTTTCAAGCTTTTCAGCTCAGAGAAATTCAATAAATGCATCGCGATGCACTTTAGATTTTCTACGCATCTCGAGTTGAGTGACACTCCATCCCCAATATAAGCAACCCTTTGTCGCTGCTTGATATTTGCCCAGATCTTTGTGGGCGCACAGAAAGTGCCTCGCAAGAATGGTTCACTCTGGTGTGTATTCTTTCAAAAATTCCTTCCCAGTTCCACTCTGCAGCGTCTCGAGACGCGTCTCTATGAATGACGTCTTTCTCTGACGTTTCCCACTATGATCTTGGGCTGTACACACATCGAGATGAAGGCAATATGTTGTAAACTGATGTTCATTATCACGGTTCCTGTAGGAGGAGCGGATTTCGGAATTTCAAGGAATTTTTTTCCGTCCACCAGAGAAACATGACTCACTCAGCATCACTCTGTCACTGTGCGGTGATGTTTGATGAATATTATGTGTTTTCCCTTATTTTTCCCGCGGGGCAAAAAGCTCCCCCGTCGCGTGACTGAGAGTTGGCCTCGCTGGGAAAGCCAGATAATTAAGCTCATGGAAAGCTCATCTCCGCGACAAGTTCTGCTGTCGTTGCAACTCACATCCTGTCCCTGTGTCTATTTGTACGCAAAAACTGTACAAACAAATAAATTGGACAGAAATTTTGCTGTACAGCTCACTTGCCAAAAATTTTAAATTGAAAATTTTCTACTTTGCAGAATGTGCGTTATTTATGTGCAATGGGAGCAAGTGAGATGGACAGCGAGGGGAGGAAGAGAGAGAGAAAAAAATGACGACAGTCTAAAATTAATCTCCGGAGACTGTGAATCCCAATCACGTATGTTTAATTGTATGGCCGAGAGCGCAGTTCTGTCGCAAATTTGTTGTCATACATAAATTTGCGCCATTCGCCCAAAATTGTGCGCGGCCTTTATTGGGTGGGTGCATGATTAGTGGCAATTTTCGGCGCTTTCGATGAAGATTCATCATTTCCATGTGGCAATTTTATGAGCTTTAGTCGCTCTTGTGTCGTGATTTGTGCGCTGTTCATGCGAACATTCGCTGCATTAATTTGATTGATTTAATTGATCAACCAAAATCTCTCAAGTAAATAAATGCTTTATATAAATGCATGTCATGGTGAAGAAATACTGTATTTACTTCCTCAAATAAATGTCAATGAAGATTTTGCAGAAAAACATATTAAAACACTAAAGATAGCAAAAGTCAAGGGGCAGATATTATGGTTTTATTGCTTTTTTAGGTTATGTGATTGATTTAAACAGATTTTGACGATTAAATAACTCCTAAAAATCGTCAAATTTGGGTTCAAACTGGGAATATTTGTCTATTTTGTGTCGAAAAACTACAAATTGATTAAAATTTCGTCTTGAAAAATGTTTCTTTGCTTAGTTAGTAACCAATTCTAGTTCATTAGCTACTTTAAACGTAGGAAAATTGCGACATTCGATGTAATTACTCATTTTCAAGTAATGAAAATGAACGTTTGATCAGAATTTTACAGCAGAAAATGTTGCAATTAAGAATTTCTCTCATTGCTTTTATCAATTTTACACTTACAAGACATTTTAATCGTATTTATTTCATTAAATGCCCATTTAATGTGAAGTACAAGTGTTAAGAAATGTAAAAGCTTGTGAAATATCTTCGCACTTTTGGTGAATGAAATAAATTTCGCGGGTTGAAGTGTATAACCTCATTTTCTTTCCTCCTCTCGGCAAATAAAGTAATTAATTCATTGATATTTTTCTGGCACAGGGAAATTTTTTTTTGTCGTCATCTCATTCCCAAAAAACCAAATTACTTCTTTGGCATTCGTGACGATTGGCGTTATAAAAATTCCTTGCCAAGATATTTTTCCCACATTTCCTTTGCAGAATTTTTCCCAATGAATTTTTCCACACTGACCTTGTCAGTGGTCTTGGAAGTTTTTGGGGAAATCAACAAGTTTTTTGTTTTTCTCTCCATCTTCCTCTTCACCTCAGTCTGTGGGTCGTCGTGTGGTGGAATAATTTGCTCTTTAGTGCAGAGTTTTGTGCTCGCGGGTTATGAATTAATACGTATAAATCATTCGCCACTTTCGACATCATTTGCGTTTCCTCAAGTTGATCGTTGTGTGTGCTTGTTTCGCGATGACCGAGATGGCAAGGAGGAAGACTAATCCAATTTTAGATACATTTTGTAATCCGTCTGCGAGATTAGGCTGCTGAAGTCGCGATTTGCCAGATGCATTGTCTCTCAAAATCTCTGCTCTCTGTGTGCAAAAGTGAACAATGAGAAATTCTGTGTTGAGCCATAGAATTTTCACATAAGTTTTCCCATGTCATTTAGTTTCGAGAGACGTTGCGAGTTGATGTCTAAAATTAATCTGAGTTTTGACCCAGCACTTCACAAATCCGTTAGAATTTTCAATCTTGCAAAATACTCTTGTGTTTATATGTATTTTTCCGACATTATTGAGGCACAGAGAAGGAAAGACGATGAAAAAACACATCTTTGAAGAAGAGAGGAACATCTCACTAAACAATCCGCACAATTCAATAGGCTTCGAGTCAACAGTTGAAGATGCCGCATGATGTGTTACATAAATCTCACAATTGTGATAAAAATATAGGGAAAAAGAGCGGAGAGATTGCAAAGAGTGTCGCGCGGGGGCGTATCTTTTTCTGCGGGGCGCCCGAGAGCCTCCTGAGCGGCGCCCCCAATTGGGGCTTTTTATTGGGGAGCTACAAAAGGGATTCTTTCCATATACTCACTTCCTGTATTTTGAAGCTCTTGCGCACCACCGTTCGGCGCACTTCCGTCTCATATGTTTCCTCCGTTTCCGCCATCTCGCTCTCCTGGACTTTTCCTGATGCCTTTCACCGATTTAAATCCAATTGCCGCAGCTGGCTGAGGGTCGTGCGGAGTTGCACAAAAGCGTGGTCAATCTGCACACGCACTGACTTCCGATTCACACTCAAGAATTTCAGTGTCTCTCAGGGAATTTCCTCAATTGATTGATTTCCTCTGCGGACAATTTGTCGCTAACACACACAAATTCACACCAGTTCACTTAGATCTTGCGCGAAAAATCCACCCAAATTCACCGGAGAATCCTTCACAAAAAATTGAAAAACCACCAATTGAACTGATCTCCGCGAAGAGTGAAAATTGAGCGGACAAAAGATCTTTCTTCTCAGTTGTGCAACAAATACACACAATTTTTGCTTCTTCGAAATGCTCCTCTATCCTCTCAGAAACGCTTCAGACGTTCTGCGGACCACTGATGTCTTAACCTAACTAACAAAGTGCGATCGATGGTGGACAGGCGAAGCTCCGGCAATCGTGCTTGGCCCGCGATTTGCAGAGCCGCCACTAAGCGCCATTTATTAAAGCTAATTTTACATTTTTCAACCGAACCGCGCTGTGAAAATCCGTTGCCATTGACTCGGCCGCAGCGCACACACACGCCGGCTTGAACAGAGTGAGAGAGGAAAAGTCCATGGAAAATGCCCAAAAAGGGGGAAAAGATGATAAGACAGCTGAGGCTCATGAAGACATCGACTTTCAGGCCAATAAAGTGCGTTTACCCGCCAAAGTTTGAGAGTCTCTTTGTTCCAACTAAAATTGTCGCACTCTCTTTTTCTTTGCAGAGAAAACTTTTTCCTGGCTGCGGGAAAATACGCCTCTGAGAATCACACTAATGGGATTTGCAATTCACGACGAAGTCTGGTATTTCGCGCGGAAAGAGCAGCAATTAGACGCAAATACAACTCTTCGTTTGTTGACTGTATTGATGCCGTGATTTTCGCAATGCCTGATAAACAGAGGAAATGTACCGCATCATCAGTTTGAGACTCTCTTTGTGATGAGACCTGAATATATTAAGTGTATCTGGCAGAAAACTTTGCAAGGAATTTTGTTGATTATAGAGAGAAAGAGACTTTTAAAATATGAATTGTGTATATCGAATAAATCAACATTAAATTTATGGCCAGAAATATTTTTATCCCGATGGCAATTTTGCTGTTAAACACGCTGTAAAAGCATTTTATATATTGACAACGTATGGCAATAAATGGGGGGATAATTTGCTCCCCCGTGCATGGATTGATTCAATTTATTTTCATCGATGGGAAAGTGACGGTAAATATTTGTGAAAACTAATCTGCCACTTCGAGGTTCACTCCAATCATATTCGATGGAAGACGTTTCACAGTCGATTAGGAAATGCCACACAGAAAATCACGATCGATTTTCACCTAAACTCAGGCTTCAAGATTAAGCTCAAATGCGCCGGCTGCCTATGCAATTTGGTGAACTTTTTCTGAATATATGCTGAAAAGCTCTCGTCATGATCACTTCATTGTCGTTCGTTCTTCAGTACATTATCAGCTGAATTTCCAATTTAATTAACAAATGGACGCGCAGATTCCATATGCATTGGACAGGGTGAGTATATAAGTGCCGATGGAGCGTGAGAGTGTGCACATGTAGTGACAGATGTTGGGGGAAAAGCCCCAAAGCTGGGGCGGCGAAAGCTCAGACCCGCGCATGGCTAATAAGCGCGTCGCCAACGCACACAGCGAGAATACATTGTAACAAGTATTCCAACACAAATCAAAGTCAAAGAACTTTCAGGGGGCCTCTCAATACAGCAAATAAAGCACAGCGTGAGTAAAAATACTTTTTCGACTTCTTACGATGCTAAGACGATTGGAATTACCGTCATTTGGCACAAAAAGCACAAAATCAACCAAAAAAGACCCTCCAAAGCACTTTTCAACTGGTCAGCGTGGCCAGGTGACAGCTGTCAAGGCCTTAAGAAATACACGGACGCCAGTAGAGACATCTATCAGCCAAAAGAATGTCACTAGGGCATGAATGAAGTGCTGGAAACCCAAATTTGATGGGCAAAATGCACTTTGTATGCGTGGAAATCGTAAAGACTCAATCGAGCGAATATGATGAACAGTGAGGTGTCTGAGGTGGATTGACGGACCCCTTGGCGCTTCGCCTCGGAGACGTGACTGGAGGAGAGGTCGGGAACTGTGCAGATCGTGGAGGGAATCCGCAGCTCTGGAGAGGGGCAGAGCCGAGCCAGGCAGTGAGAGTGTCTCCTCAGTCACTTTCCATCGGCTGTCCAGTGCGAGTGCGAAGTGACTGTGTTGGTGAAGTGAAATCCAAAGCATCGCTGTCCACAATCCCGTGTGATTTTGCAGAGGTTCAGCCGCGCCAGTGTCTGTGACAGGGCCAAAGAGTGGGCAATATATCGAGAGAGAGCTGGGAAAAAGTGCTTTCTGAGTGCTTCACAGCGGAATCATTGATACTGTCATCAGCAATTATGAGTGCCGTCGATGAGATAATTGCATACAAGAAGAATCCGGACGAGGATTTCTACGCTCTGCTCAATTGTGATGAGAACTCAACGGTAAGTCGCACAGAATCTTCGTGACATTTATTTAAGATTCCCCAATCTCATCGGGATCCATCGTCGCACATCTCAATTTATCTCCCCAAGTTTTTTTCGCTGAGACAATAATGTAAACACTTTTAATCAATGAATTACTTTACCCTCACCCAAAGTGACCTTTTCTCCACCACAAGCGGCGCTGCTTGGAGAATTGGAATCTATTTTCATTCTCCATAACACACTTTCAATTAAATTCCCAGCCTCAGAACGCCGTCTTGCAACGCTACTAATGGGAATTTGCTTGGGAAAAACACCCGCGACATGGTGGGGGTAAAGTGACGGTTGAAGTCTTGAAGTCTTTGAGCAAATGCAAGGCTGAACAACACCTCAATCGCTCGGCTGACCGACGAAAGTGAGTTGAGCTGAAATCAACCGGTTTTCGGCGCTCGATTAAAAGGGAATGATCTGATTGATAAAGCCAAAAATCCAGAAGGACATGCGAAAATTACATGACCTAGATTTGCAATAACATCCGAAACATCCATACAGAAAACGTTTGATGTTTCAAGCTGTGCTGATAAATCAAAATATTTTGCTATTAAACACAGGGATTAGTGACGTAGGTATTATCAAATATTATATTATGCTTCTCTGGGAGGAAAGCTGAACCTTTTCCATCTCATGCTTTCATCTCCATTCGCCAAGTGTTTTGTGTAAGTTTGAGCTGCTCATTCGAACTCGCAGTATTGGCTTTCATTCAGGCTGCGTTGAGGGAAATTGGATGGATTCTGGGAAATTCCCACAAGAGAAAATTTGCAAAATTCCCCGTGAATGTGAACACCTCTGAAAGGCGATATCATATGCCTCCTCTCACCAAAGTCAGCCAGATAGAGCCAATTTTCGTGTGGATTTTCATATTTGATGCGGTGAAATTTCTGACTTTTCTCCCTTCAATTCTCCACCCACTCCTGATGATTTTTCCGAAGAACCCCTCAGAGGCTCGCCATCATACACCAATTATCGTGCAATTACTAATCCTCGTGGGAATCTCCCAGTCGCACGGTCTGGCCAAGACTGAGTGCAACTGGTGGGAAATGTGAGAATGTGTTGACAACACATAACGCTTCATCTTGATAAATGGTTCAATTGGATTGGAGAGCCTGTTGAAACCGCAAAATCAATGTTATTCAGCCAAATAAAAGCCTCACTTTTGCACTTTATCTCCATTCCTAAATGGAATTAAACAGTGGCCTTGATTTGGACATGATGATCAAGATCAATTACACAAAATGTGTGTCTAGTCGAGTTTTATTGGTTTATTAGTGGAAGCAGAGATTTTTCCCAATAAAATCTTAATTTCCAATGAAATGTCGGTATAGTTATTGATTTTTTCCGACATTTATCGATATAAATTGCGTGAAATTTCCTCCTTTTAGCACAATTTCAATGGAAAAATAATACTGATTAATTCCTAAACTGTCAGTTTCAACTTCTTTTTCCCTAAAATTGGATGTAAAAAGTAAATTGCGCATAATTCGTATCGATAAATGTCTGTAAATGTCTATAAGTTCAAAGCGAAGAGAAGAAATAGACATAACACACTTTAAGACATCTTCTCGATATGATGAAGGGAAAATTCTTGAGTGCAGCTCAAATGTGAGTGAAAAATAAAGAATGGCCATATAAGGTTTACTTAATGGCACAGAAAAAAGGGACGAGCGGAAAATTTATCCGGAAAATATTATGTATTTTCCGATCAGATCGCTTTTGCGATGAGTAAATTTGACGAATTTGAGAAGGGTTTGTGCATAAATCAAAATTTGGTGAATACATTTGTAGCAATTTACACGCTTTGATAGCTTGAATATTTGAAAAGATGTCACAAAGTATTGACAACCTTTTCCATCGTCTTGTAACTGACAAGAGATCTGGATGTTATATTCAAGATATGGAATAACTTTCAAACGCGTTTCTGTGATAAAGCGAAAAAAGTGCGCGTTTAGGATGAAGGATTGAAAATTGGTGAATTTTATTCACGCACACACAAATTTCTCATTCATGAGGAAAATGATCTTGCTTGAATGACAAAAACAGGAGGAAACAAACACGGTGCGTAACTTGTGCGTCAAAAGCAATGAATTCTCTTCGCTTGTGCTGCGGAATCGCTTTGGGAATTCTCTTGACGAAGTAGAATTTTAAATTTTCGCCGAGTGCGTAAAATTGCCACCTTTTGGCATCTCAAGCGGCATGATTGGGGACTTTGCGAAGGTATAATAAATTCAGGAGATAAAACGTAAAAAGGCAATTTTCTGTATTAAGTGGTTTTGTTCATCCACACCTCAAATCATCACATTTGCAATGCTGAAGACGCTGAAACAATGTAAAATGTGGTGGAAAATTGCGCCAAATATTATCTGCAGACTTCCACTCTATCAACTTCCGTCCAGTGAATTATGTATAAATTGATTTACTATTCAATTGGACATGATAAATGCATTGATGTTTGATGAAGTGTGGACAATTGTGTTGTTATCGCATGAAGAGCACTCAGAGTCCGCAGCTTCCGCGCGTTTCAATGACTTTTGTGCAATAATCATTCTTTCCAATTGATGGTTTTGCATTGAGCGCCGCGGTTCGCCGAAAGTTTGATTGCAAACATCGCGATTCTGGCAAACAATATGCCAATTTGCGTGGGTTTTCGAAAATGTCAAACAACATCAAAAAACATTTCTACAATTTCACCATGTTACTCTTGATAATGCAGTCCTTTAGCATAAAAACACGAGCTCTTAATTATACCCTCTTAGTGGCTTACGTTCAACCTTAATTCGGACAGACACAGAATGCGACACACTCAGGCAAAACGAGAGATAGATGGGGAAAATAAAAAATAAGTATACAGAGGAAATTCTCGGAACAATTATCTCACAAGCTCAGGAAAAACAGGGGTAAAATAAGAGACCATCGTGCCAAGAATAAATTGACTAAATGTCGAGAGTACTTCACCACAAAAACAAACATTCGTATGATATTTATTATGTAAAAAAAAGCATAAACAAATAATTACACTCTGATACAATTATTACAATGTCTTTATAGAGATATAATCACAGAGATCAATTTGATTACTTGCTAAATTGACATAGAAGCAAATTGTTTTGTAATTGAATACTGCCCAATTAGAAATGTGCAACATATCATTGCAATAATTGGCACATAATGTTTGCACAAAACTCAGTTGAAATTGAAATTTACTCTGCATAGTTTGAGCGTAATTGCAAATTTTCGGCATAATTGTATCAAATATGCAATTAATCTGAGTCAGCAACAATGCTTCTGAACACTTTTTATACGGAATTTCTTGCAGACTTTAATATAGACTCGGCAATTTGGCTTTTGTAGCTAATTTTCACTCAAGCAAATTGATGATTTTACTGGAGTGTTTGGCAAGCACTGCAAACTGTTGTTAATACTCTGGCTGAATTGAGAGTTTCACTTGAAGCTTCCGTAAAATAGGAAAAGAGTAAACATTTGCATGTACATCCGTTGAGAGCTTTTAGAGTGATAATGTGTAATCTCTTGAAATATATCAAAAATACATTGTCAATCATGAATATATTGCACAACACATCGTGAAACATCTTTTACCTTTCCATAATTGAGTAGTCTTTCTATCTCACGTGCCTCAATGAAAGTTTCCTAAACGCGTGTGTTGAAAGTTGTGGAGAATTTATTTGGGTAATTTCTGATAAATTCATGCTAAAAGAAGTCGAACATTCACCATTATTCTTCAACAGGTAGAATTAATCAAAAGTTTTGGGAGTTATTGGAGGGATTTTCCCATGCTTGGCTGACGATTTTCAATATATCACTCTTCATGGAATAAATCTTCCCGTCTTCACACATTTTCATCCCTTATGAACCGGATAAAATGGAGATGAATCTTCTCATATATATATATAATTCCATCTCCCAGTTTGTTCATGACAATTTTACAATTACTCTGGGTTTTTGCTAAAAATAAGTATAATTAATTCATGTGACACAATTTGTGAGAATAATGACAAAGTTCATCCTCATCACAGTGAATTTTCCTTCGACATTTTTTCCTCTGTCTCGGCACGATCGGTGGGAGAGAAGTAAATGCAAATATACATATGCATAGCTGTGCTGCACATTATCCTTTGATAATTCTGCCCGGCGCTTCCAGCTAAAGTAGGTCAACTACAATTCTCTTGCAATTCCCACACCTTCACCTTTGGCCACAGAGCTCCTCCCGGGAGGAGTCAGAATGCAATTCTCGCCTTATTTACGCAGTTCTGCACTGGATGACACACCGTCTAAATATTTATGAATGCCCTGTGGCGCGAGATCCTGCTTTCTCTCCTGCTAATGCATCTCCTCATTGTGTGTGTGTGTGTGTGTGTTTTAGGAAATGTCCTTGTTCAGATGTATGGAAATAATCTCATTTGCTGGCTTGGAAAATCCTTCAGAAAGAACAACTTGTATGTAAATCAAATTTCCTGCATCACATTTCTCACATCCTTTAAACATGGCAAAGAATGACGCAATTTCTCTCCAAATTTCAAGGTACATTTCGAGGAATAGTGTAAGAGCGCCAGAAGGGTTGAGAATTGCAATCAATGAAAGGAGAGCTTTTGGCCTTTGTCAGGTATTTGAGCACACACACAACACTATTCGCAACCCTCATACATAAAAGCTATACTGAAAAGAACGTGACTGGATATCCGGGGAACAATATGGACAGAATGGAGCTGATGCAATTGATAAGGAGCGTTGAATATGGAATCAATGAGGGTCAGGGTGCTCAGAGATTAAGTATAAACTGTTGGGAAATGTAGCAAATGCTTCGCGTAACGACGTGTAAGTTGATTGGCATAGATGGAAAAGCCTTTCCAGCAAAGTGTCCAGATCTCTATTCTCCAGGCTTTGTAAGTTCAAAACCTCGGAAAGCTGCTCAAGCTCAAGGGGAATTATATTATTTCCGAAGAGAACATGGCAGAGTAATTGTCATTCACAGAGTCAATCAACCTTTCATCGTTTGGAATATTAAATAGGATTTCATGCTAAACATCCACGTAAATACACAAGAACTGAACTGAGAAAAAAAACTCTTTTGAATGCTACAAAACTGCTCTATAACATCGTTATGTTCTTCTTACAATATATTATCAAATATAAGGAAAAGTTTGTTTTGTAACAGAAACACTCATTTCTATTCGAGCTGAATTTCTCTCTCTTTGCAACTCTTTACTTGTGAAAGTCATTCGTGGAAAACTTGGGTGAATTTTAAGGATGTTCGTCAGTCGTAAACTCACGGAGAACTTTAAAATACTGCCACGGTTGATTTTACAAGCAAAACGACACCGTTTTATAGGGTGAGAGAATACAATTAGAGCCCTCTTTAAGAGTCTTGCCATCAATTTTTTTTCCCTCACAACTTCACTAATGAAATATTCTGAATTTTCACCGTCGCAGCAAAAGCTTTTTCTCAACTTTCGGCCCTGACTCACTTGGCCATTATAAATTTCCACTTTTTGTCATCCTTTCGGTGTCTTTTTTCCACCCTCACCGGCCATATATTAGCATTTGTGTTTTGGGGCGGTTTGCGAAATATTTCGCACTCGAACGCCCGCCAAGAGTGTATCGTCTGTCAGACACGGGAATTAAGCCCCAATGCGAATCGATAACGCCACTAAACCGTGTGCCTCTAAAGCCCCTCAGTGGCTTTAAGGAGCGCCAGAGACTTCTCTTCGATTCCTCCTCCAGCGGAGGAATCAATAGGGGAAAAAATTGTTTAGTGATATAAAGTGTAATGAAATAAACCGCCGAAGGCTGTAGTGAATGTAAGTCGATTTGTGACGAGTGAGGAAGTCGGAGAAAATTTAATGAATGGTGGGCGCATTTTGAAATATAAATCACAGTACATAAGGCTGAGCTTGATCGATTTTCTCACTTATCTACTTGCCCTTCATTATGTATAAGGGGAAAGAGAGCCACTTGAGGAGTTGGGTTGAGTGGCAAAGAGTGAAAGAGGTTTTTGTATCAGAAACACTACAAAGTATTTTATCAGTCTCCCGAAATGATATCATATAAGATTGCGTGCTTCTTTCCTCATCGTGACATAATTACAAGGTCGCATCTCTTGACTAGGGAAGCTTCCATCTGGGATGTCCTCAAACTTCTTCAACATTGTCACACGGGGAAGTTTGAAATCTTGGTCGTACGAGATGTAATTGGATAAGATTCAACGACCATCAAATTACAAAATTGTCACTTCTCATGCTGTCATATTACAAAAGTAATCTTCTCAATTATACCTCTTACACTCTTTCGCGCTGCGCTTCAGGTGGAGCAGATCCAGGCGGAGTACAAGGTCCTCGCGCTGCAATATCATCCGGACAAGAATAGTGGCGACAAGGAAGCCGAGGCGAAGTTCCAGCAATTAAAGGTAAATGCTAATATTTGTTTGGTGAACATTTACCAAGGGGTTGTAGTGTCAAAGAAAACAAATATTTTATCTTGTTATCTATTCAAAGTTTATTTATAAAATTATTGTACACAGTTTTTAAAGAGCGAAAGGCAAATTTCTCTGCTCAAAAGCTTGGAAACCACCAATGAATTGGCAATATTGCTTTAATATTTAAACTTCAATTGGATATTTCCATTTTTTCGCAATGTTTTACGTTAAAAATGTGTGTGAAACTGAAGAAAACCTGAGAATCTTTAACTCAAACTCGTTTTTACACCCACAAAATTAATTTTCTTCACAAAATCTTATATCCAATCAATGTCGAGTCTAATGTTGTGACTTGTTTTCCATTTCAGACCTTAGATTGTCGATTTTAATTATTTCCCCTCTAGAATTGTGTTAAAACTTTGTTAAAATTCATTGTCGATAACTTGCAAAATGTATTCAAAATTGATATTGGCAACCCCTTGAAATTTATCCAACTATCGACACACAAAAAGCGAGGTCATGACGAAAGCAAACATCACTTTTACAGCACGAATTTAATGTAATTGATTCATGTAAAATTGCTGAAAGACTCTTTTGCTGTACAGGTTCTGAAAACTCACCAAAGCTCAATTTCAAATTACACACAAACACTTCTAATTAATGCGGTTACTCTGGGGCTGTTTTGCTCCCTGAGCTTTCAAAGCTTGCAGCAAAAACACCAACTCGTGCATAGTTTCCAAAAGTCTCCCTGCTGTGAATGTGATAATATTCAACGCACAAATAAGGGTCTTCCATTTGTGAGATTGACTTCAATGGAGAAGAAAGTATTAATTTTATCCCTTCCGTTAAATACCTGCCCATCAACTTGATTAATTAATTACTAAAGGGGTTTTAATTTATTCCCTCCTCAACAATATTCATCCTTTTGCCACTCTCCTTTTTCCCCCGCCACAAAGTGAATTGTGGAAGATTTATAATGTTGTGTGTTTCTGAGGCGAATGTCGCTTTATAAAATTAATTTTATTGCAAAGTCAACCGGAACCACACATTATACAGCGAATCACTTCCAATAATAATAATTTCTGGGAATAATTTCGTACTACCTCGAGGCCTGTTTCACATATCCTTCTTCTCTCGCATGGAGCATTACTTTTATATGAGAAAAGAAGTTCTCTCAATACGTGGAAAAAGTCGTTCGCATTTATCGTCGGTAATTCCCTCTTTATTGTCACGCTTCGTAGGAAATAACAAGGAGTCGAAAAGACAGAGAGAGAAAAGAGTTGGAAATTGGATAAATATAAAATAATTGAATTTCTTCTCATTTCCTCTCCATCATTCCTAAATTATAAATCTGTCTCGATGATGGCGAATGTTGGGCTTTTTTTCCTCTTTCTGTCCCACATCGCATTTATTCTGTCATTTATTTGCCATGTACATCAAACAATTAACATTAATTGCTGGTTTTCTTGCCATAATCTCATTCGGAGCGTCGTCTCGAGGGGGCGGAGGGGGGAGGAAAAGCGAATATTTCACATGACACGTGGGAAAAGTGGTGAGGACAAAAATCTGACGAACTTCTTCAGCATCGAACGCAGTCTGAGTAAATACAATTTCTATTGATATTCCCAATTTTCTGCGTCTCCTTCTGATTTCATTTCCCACGATTCTTTTTTCTTTGCCACTCACACTCTTCGAGATGGCAAAAACAAATATTTCAGTGGATTTCCACTGATAACGCCATGAGAGACATCCAGTGAAGAGGAAAAGCCTGCGATTCTCCCTCCGAAAAATGGCTTGTGGCAGCTTTCGTTTATGATTCACAGACAGCGAATACATATTTCTCAGCGAGAAAGAGAGAGAGAAATTTGAGGGACTTTGCGCGAATGTCGGAGATTTTTTTTGCCTCACAGTAAATACTATATGCTCATCATAAATATCATATCATCCCGCACTTGTGATGAAAGTTGATGGTGCACAAGAAAAAGGAGTGAAAAAGTGCTTCCGTTTTTTTTTTCTCGATAGAAAATGACTGGAAGACCTTCAACCATCTCGCAAATTCACAATTTCCAGAGAAACTTTTGCTTCAAATATCAAAAGTTTGTGCATTTTCACTGGGGGAAGTGCAGAAAAACTGCGCACAATTCGTATAATTAAAAGTAGACAGTTTTCATTTTTAAACATGACTTCAATGCATTGTGATTTGTTGATAGCTTTAATTACAGAACACGTCCATCAGCTTCACCTCGAATACAGGTATAAAAACACACTGGAGGGCTATTTAAAGCGGATGCCTGATTAATTCCGGTGGGGATTATCATCTCACTTATAATCGATACGGTTTAGTCGAAGCGTATTAATTCGTCGAAGGACCCAAATCGGTGAAATATGTAATAAGATTATGGGCTGAGCTTGCAATAATCTGTGTATGTTTATTTCTAACGATACAGAATTATCTCTCAGATTTGTCAGATAAAGTCAAATGTCGTGGGAAAGATTCTCATTTTCTGGCACGGAAAAATTGATCAATAAATTTATCCTGTTGAGGAATTTACACAAGTTCTATTATTCTCTCCGTGAAAATCCCGGCGAACTGTCACAGAAATCTCCCCGAAGCTGTTTAACTTAATCTGGGACTACACGTGCTCTGAGATTTACATTATTATCGTTCACTTTGAACGAATCTCTTGCCGGCGGTGCTTCTGGAAATGTCGCAATAATTTTACTGATAAAACTGCAAAATTCATGATACTCAATATTGACATGTTGCAGGAGGCGAAGGAGATTCTCTGCGATCCTGAGAAACGTGCCAATTACGATAAGTGGCGCCGCAGCGGAATCTCAATCAGCTACAAGAACTGGGTCGGAATGAAGGAGCACGTCCACCAGGTGAGTCTCAAAGACAGATTGGCTGAAATGTAATGTAATGTGTGGCTCTGTTTCGCCATCGCCAGTCGATGCACTGGTCCACGCCGAAGACAAAGGACAGAATGCTGCCCGAAGGAGCGTCCGCCTCCAGCGGCTTGTCCGCCGGCGTCCCGAATCCAGCTCATCGCCGCGCTTCTGAGGGCGGCGCCGCACTCTACTACGGCAGCCGCAAGCAGGAGTGGGGCTCCGAGAACCCCAGCGAAGTGGTCAATAAATTCAGAAATTATGAAATTTAATTTAATCAATTATTCCTAAATAATCAATGCAAATTGACTTACTTTCATCCCCCCCGCAAAATGTTCGCTCAAACAGAACACCATCGCAATATTTTTCCCTTTTATTTTCACAATAATTAGTTTATGTTTTCCACATCCTGTCTCGTTTGGGAAAAGGCGCATTTATCGCGCATAAATTCAATAAATTTATTTATAGTGACATTCAAAGTAAAAAATCATCACATGAGCGAACTCGTAGAGTGGAAATCCTGCTCGATAATTTCTCTCCCCTCACACAGTGTTTTGCCCTCCATTCTTGTGCCCATTTGATGTACCATTTCCCATAGGATAAATGGGAAGATATCCCACCTTTGTAGTTCAATCCTTTTCCACCGTATATGAACACAAATCGACCAGCTTGGCAAAATGTTCATGTTCGATGGGAAATATGCTTGGATTGCACGGGAATTGGGAGTTTTTTGGAAGATTTTTTCTCTTTCATCACGATAAAAAGGTGGAAGACTCAAGACGGACAATTATGCTTCAATTTTTGCTCCTCCGTGTGTGTCGGAGTGACGTTTTAAAAATAAAGAAAACTCCATCAGTAACATCATGAAGGGCTGAAGGAGAGCCTTTCAAAGTGGGATATATAGGAAAATATCTCACATAGGAAGAAAGAAATCGAGTATTATGTATGCAAATATGAGTAAATAAGATCTAAGAAGAGAGATGACGTCAATCAAAGTCTATATTACTATTGGATAGATGGAACATATTTTATGCTAAATGTTTAAAGGAAGAATTACAATATATCCATCATACTTGTTGTATGCTCTGAACCAATTTTTGAAGAATTAACATATTTTTATGTAATGTCAAGACATGAAGTAATGATGTTAGAACAGTAGACAGTTTAGACACTTGTAGACAGCATAGAAGGATATTTTAATATATAAATGTGTAAGAAACAGTCTGTAGTGCTAGAATTGTGACACATGTATTTACTGAAGGAGCGATGAGAAGGTGAGGAAAAGGCACGTCTTGTGCGCTGTGACGAAAAAAAAGAAATGGTAAAGAGAGATATGATAAATTTATCTTTATGTTGTCGTTGCTGTTATCACCCATAAAATCTATTCAGATGAATGTGTTTCAGTGAATTGTAATCACAATTATATGTGTGTTATATTAGCGAATGGAGGCCGTAGAGAATTAAAGAGAGTTTTATGCCTCCACTTCAATCCGTACACAGTATTAACACTAAAGAAGAAGAAAAAATATGGGATAATTTCGTGGTAGAGTAAAATAAAAAAAACGTAATATCAGAGAAAATCCTTTAACATTATATTACATGTTTAGAAAAGAATATATTGACATATTCATAGATTTGATGGAGAGTCATCTCAATTATTGATATCTGTTTGTGTGAAGAACATTATTATACTCATGATAATATTGCTGTTAACCAGAATAACAAGAATTATATATGAACATCTCATTATACGTGACAATCCAAGATTATATAATCAAAAATATGACATCCCAATTCTACCCATGAGTATATTGTGAAAAAAAAACATTTGGTGGCTCAATTATCCTCCAACTGGCCCAATGGAAGAGTCCACAGGGTATGTCCTTCTCCTTGTTACTGTGAAAGATCGATGAGCTTATCGTACTTTAGATCCCCCGAAAGACTTCATCCTGTTTAGACATTCCTTCGTGCAAACCCATTTTTCGCCCCCCCCCCAGGAAAGAGATTCCTTTGGACTATGAAAGAAGAAGAGAAAGACAAAAAGATATCAGTGAGGAAAAGTTTGATTAAGGAATGAAAAATCCGCAAAATCTCTAATTGATTATCAAAAAAAACCAGGCATTTTACATGCGCAAACCTTCGTACAAGAACCCAATGGAATTTATTGTATCACTGTACCTCAAAGTTATATACCATTCAATGTGATAATATGGATGTATTTAATGTTACCGAGGAAAAATAAAGGAATAAAAAATATTTTAAATCACGTAGAGAATTTATGACGTCCAATAAATCTCCTGTACACGGAAAAACCCTTTTCCTCGAAACTCCCCTCCACCCATGGAAAAAAAGGTGCAGAAAATATCCCTTGATTTATCTACAGTAAAACATGCTTTGGAAAATGCCACAAAAATGTATTAACTACACACGATCTGAAGGAATAATTGAACTGCATTGAAATATAAGCAAAAGCAAGTGTTTCACCCCCAATTTTGCCCTCAGCAAGCAAAACAACCAAGGAATAAAGCAGCGTGCTGAATATTTCAAGCATCATTCGCGTGAACTCTGCAAACTTGCACATCAGAACCATTTGCAATCGATACGTTTGGATGAGTTGATTGATGGAAAGTGGTAAATGGGAAAATGGGTTCTCAAAGACGTCTCATTTTGCGCCACGACGCAAAACTTTGTTTGCAAAACTTTTTTTTTCCTCGTCCACTTTCAGTGAAAGGATTTCACTTCTCTCTGACCACAGAGTATTTCCACGAGATTTTACGTGTAATTTAATGCCAGTAATGCTTTGGAATCTCTGGCGGAAGAGGTGGAATTCCGAGGTCTCTTGCGAGGGTCAGGAGAAAAAGAAAAAAAAACCCACCAAGAGTTGAGCAAATTTGTTTTATTACAAAAGAAAACACATTTTTGTACATTTAACTTGTTCGAGAGATATTATTTGTGTGTGTGTGCGCGTTTGCCCGTTATTGCAAAAGTTTTCTACACCACATTTTGGACAATATAGAGATATATATAATATGATTCTGGGTCGCGAGAGAGAGATTTGATTAGATAGAAATCATATGACTAAACTTTTTGGTAAAAATTGATTTAGCGAGTCACTGTTCATTCTTGCCTATTATTAGCTTTCGTATCTCTTTTTTTGCACATTGGCGTATTTACACTTCATCCTAAAACCAGTCGAAAATAGAACTGGCGGCGTGGGCGTTGGGGCGTCTAATACGCCGGTGGATGATCTGGGCGCAGTTTGCAGGGTCGGTGGAGCTCCTGTCCTCGCTCGTGCAGCCATTTGTTACTCACTGTGTGGGAAGAGAGAGAGAGAGCCACATTATGTTAATGTAATTCATCACAAGCGTTGGGCGAAGAGTCGGATCTTATTGAAAAATCGTTTCAGGCATATTTCCTGACCCGAACACTCCCCCAAAACTCACCCCACTTGCTGCCCGCCAGCACGGGACACGCAGCGTGGCGGGTCTGGTAGTCGCCCTCGCCGGAAGCGAAGAGGTTGAACCAGAAGGCCGCCGTGCCCTTCTTCGGCCACAGCGCCGTCCGGATGGAAGGGAAGACCGTGGCGCCGCCCTGGGGAACGTCGCTCATGTAGAATAATACTGTTGCAATGCGATTTCCCGTGCCCAAGCTCTTGAACGCGTTCGTCTCGTCTTTCTGCAAGCAAAGAAAAGCTCTTAACTCATCGAGAAGTGTTGCCCAAGGGAGAGATATTGTGGACTGAAGTGGTGTACACCTCAGTGGAAGAGTCAAATATTCACAAAATTAATTTCTTGAAAACTCCTTTAGAGAATCAGATGTTTTTCAAACATAAAAATCAAGAATAACGTCTTTTTATAGCAGGAAAACTGCGCTTTGAACAAGATTGAGTGGAAAATAAAGACACAAACAGTCCAGAAAGTGAAGAAACTGCTTGAAATGAAGCAATACGCATTTTCAGAAGCACTGAGAGTGTCTCAAAATGATGTACAGTCTTCAGCCAGGCATCTTTCCCTCGGATTTATGCAAGATTGGTGTCATTTCTCACCCGCGCGAAGTCAAAGTGGGGCTCATAGTGGCCGCCAATGCCGTAGTTGACCACCTGCAGCTCCTCGGCCGTCTCCACAGACAATCCCGTCATGTCGGCAACTCTGCGGCCGATGCGCTTCACGAACTCATGATCCTCATCTTTGAGCCACGCCGATTTGCTAATGCGATAGTGAGCAACCTCGAGTTCGCCAGTCTTGTGATTCTGCACCGTCGCCCGGCGAAACTGAAAGCAAACATATTCTGCACATTAGGAAATGCCACCATATATTATAATTTTGCAATTGGCTTTTGGAAATTTTGCAACATTCCGCCCGAAAATAGCGAAATCAGAGAGATACTTTATTTATGACTTCACAAGGGAGGGAAAGAAAAATGTTGAGAATGTCTTTTCAAGCATCCAGACAAGGAATGAAATATTCAGATTCAACGTGAACAATGGAAGAAAATTGAGCGAAAATCTGCACGTGAGTATTTTGTGCGAGAAGCAGAAGAAAACTATGTGGAGACAAGCGACGAGGGTGACTTCCATCTTCTTCTCCCTTCCTTAATGCGATTTGTAGTCGGATTTGTCCACCTTCAGCTGGAGAGATTGAAAATGACACTTCGAAGAGAAGAAATCGGAGCTTTGAATAAAAAATGCCAGGCAAAATCTCTCCCCAAAAGCAATTGCTTTTCAGTTCTCTCTCATCTCGCAAATGCATAAATGTAGAACGGCATCAGTGTGTCATTAAAAGTTCAGCTAATTTGACCTTTGGTGGCATTTTAGTTTCAGGTGGACTTACATCATCTGTCACATAAATATGTATTTATTATAACGAGACATTATGTTCATTCTCTTTGATATACGAATTAACATTTTGTAATGCTCTTAACGTGTGCATGAGAGTAATAAGTATATATGTATGTATAATAAAATGGTTCTCATTATATATATTGTCGCTTAAAGATGCGCAAAAAGAGATGAATGTATATTAAATATGTTGAATAAAATGCCAATTTTGTCCCATTTTCCGAGATTCTCATACATAATTCAGGATGAAAATTGAGAAGAAGATAAACTTCTTGTCTTAATTTCATTGGAAACTGATTATTTGAAGGATATTTCAGTCGCTCTCTTGTGGAAAATTGCCAGCAAAGAGAACCAGACAAAGTATATAAGATTCTCATCCGGTGAGTTAGTCATATGAAATGTTTTAAACTTCAGACTGGGCTGAGCATTGAAGGCTATATATGATAAGAGGAATTTGTGCTCCAAGTGTTCATCATGAAATAACTTTTCAATTAAATTTGACGAAGAGAGCATGAATATTCGCGAGATTAGAGGGAAAAGTAATTTCCTCGCGTAAATGCCACGAAATTAGAATTCTTGCTTGAAAGTCACCGAAATCTGTGTTCGGACACGAGACTCACCCGTGGTTTTGCCAGCTTCTTCACCACTTCAATTTCCTCATCCGACATCACATCGTGGTAGATGGCAATGAACGGCGAGCGGCTGGCTTCCTCCAATTTCAGTGGCGCAATTCGCAGGAAAGCGCTGTTATTAGTTGCATAGCGACACCTCAGCGGTGCCAATTGGATGGGAGATGGTTTTATATCGCCTCGGCAGAGCATCTCGTACAGCCGACGCTCCGGCAGATCGAATTTCGACGGATCACTCACCGTGCGAACCTGCTGTTGAGGGGAGAAAACACCCTTGAAATTCAATCACACAGCTTGGATAAATCATTATATTCAACCTCAAAGTCCATGTCCAAGTCTACAGAACCATCATCGCCGCGCAGCTTGCGATCCATCTTCTGCTTTGCCAACTCCTTCTCGTAGTACTGCTTGTTGCCCATCGCCCTCGCGTGATCTGGGTTGAGTTCCAGCAGCTCGTTCGTCATCACGAGGGCCGAATCGACATTGCCTGTTGAGGTTGCAAGACGCAAAAGACGCTCAAATGCCAGGGAAAAACAGATCCAAAAAGGAGGGTCTCAGAGAGAGAGAGATGTCAGATTGTCAAGTGGATTTAGCATTCGGCTAAACAAACATTTATGAATAGCCTCTAGCGGTGTGAGTCTGGCGAGACAGGTAATTTGCAACCAGTGATCTCTCACGTTTTGCACCTTCCGAGAGAATCACGACGCTAACATCTCTCACCTCTTTTAATTCAACCCAGAGTAAATAGCACGATTAAAAACACCAAAAGCACCTCATTTACCACAAGTGAATGCATTAAAACTTTAAAATTGTTAAAGAAGCGACAGAATGTGTGGAAAATTAGGGCTTTCTTGGTGTGAAATTAATATTCTACTGACACTTTATCAATAAAATACTGCAATTTGAGGCAATTTCTTCTTGAACTTGCCTTGCTTGTACGTGGAGAAGGCCAAGTACTCCAAAATGTCAGCCTTAGTGGTCGTTGTGTTGCTCTCGCTCCGCAGCAGACGATCCATGGCCTCTCGCATCCAGAGCACCGTGTGATAGTGATCCCCGTTGATGTAGGACTGGCGCCCCAGCTCGAAGCAGTCACCCACGGACATCTCCGACGTGTATTGGATCCCATTCAGCTCTCCGCGCGCCACACTCGCCGTGTCGAGCTTGTACGTGTCCTGGAGCCGCATGAGCGCCACGGCGGCGCCATTGAGGTCCTCGTCCGTGGGGAACTTCAGGAGGTTCCTGTAGTTGGTCACGTTCTCCAGGTAGACTGCCAAAGAGGCACACAATGGCATTATTGGCGGTATTAGACTGCTTGGCGTGCACTTACTGGATCCCACGTCGAACAGCATCACATTCTCCACCTCCTTCCAATCTGTCGTGAGTCTCTTGGTGAGCAGAAAGGCATTTATCGGATTTGTGAGGTATCCAGAGATGTCTGCCGCCGCTTCGTTGTGCTCACTTTGGTATTCCGCCGCTTTCCTATCAACACATCACATACATTAAGCATGTAAATTTAATGTGTTTGTGCGTTTTATCCATTAAATGTAAGTCAATTAATCTTCACCTCATTGTTCAACAAAATTAATAGCTAATTTTAATATTAATTTAACTAATTCTATTACTTTTGGTGCCTTTAGGAGAATTCTGTTTGAAAAAGTATAGATTTGGGACGTTCTTCACCATATATTTGCCCATATTTTTCAAAGTTCTTGTTTGATTCTCAAAAGTGGCACAAATTTTGTAAGGTGATTTGATAGCCTACAACACTCTAGAACACAGAATTTCTGTCAGGACACGTATTCACTGGTTTTCAATGGGTTTCCTTTGTTCAAATTTACACACCAACACATTGTAATTAATGAATAATAATCATACTTCTTCAGGAACTGTAGTTTCTCCTCCTGCGCCTTGATGTACTCCCCCAAGTTGGTGATGAGCACAGCTTCTGTCTCCAGCAACTCCTCCATTTCCACCAGCGCCGTGAAGACTTCCGGACGGGCGACATTTATCAAAAACACCACAAGAACAATAAAAGTGGCGCGCAGAGACTTCGTGAACTGTGAGAACATCATTTCTGCCAATTGATATCTGCAAGGGAGAATAAGCACGTTTCTATGAGTGAATCATGTTGAGAAATATCACCTTAATTGCCACAGTTCATCGAACACAGTGACTCGCAGTGGAAATCTCGTGCAATATCTGATGTCTATCGCCCATTGTCACACCTTCTTAAAGGCTCTCCTCTGCATCTCTGCAGCGATGCCAATTGTTGGAAAGGGAAAATGTAATTTTCATGAGACTCTTTTTGCCCGTCTGCAGAGCTTTCGATATGTGGAACAGAACTTTTTTCTTCCTATCTCTGGGCGGACAAAATTCATTTGAATATGTGCTAAACAATCAGGAAGTTTGCTGTGCATGGCAATAAATCTTGCAGATGTGCCACGACGAGATGAGATGAAAGTAGATTTCACGTCTCATCACTATGCAAGCATATCTCAAAGTCGTACTTCCACCTTCACTCCGATAGAATTGAAACTGAAACTTTACGTGCATCAGTGGCAACACTTCCATGTGAATAATGAGAGAGATTAATTGAATTTGCTCATGTTTCAATTAGATTTTTATTCTAATCACCCATTCAAAGGGCCTCCCTTTCTTTCTTTCTTTTTTTGTCCAATAATGCAAATTTCAATTGTGGCCCCTTCGCCGCCCAAGAGCTGCGGCGGTGCATATTTCCGTCCAATTTGACTCCATTGGCTTGGCAAACAATGTACAATGCAGACGCGCGATATGGCTCTGCGCTTTTTTTTTCTACACGCTGGACTTTTGGTGTGATTTCCAAATTCTAGGCGGAATTTATTGTGCGAAATAACTGTCCAAACATTTGTTCTGAAACTTTTCCGCCGCGCCGCGCGATAAGTTGCAAAAGGCCAGGATGGTTAATGAGAAAACCATGCGTTGAATGAAACATTTTTTGGGATTCGCATTTTGCAACACCCTCGACGGTTTCATTGTTGTGTTGAGATGCCAAAGCAGCTGCTGAGGCACTTCTTCTGACGCCACGCGAAAGAGCTCTCTGAGCTCAATTGAGGGAAGCTAAATGCCAATTTTCTGTCATGCCCACTGATTTCTGATGCCACTCTAATCGGCACAGTCAGCGATTGGAGATTTTAATTGCCATTTCGAGAGGAGTGCAAGATCGTTAGCGAAACAATGAATAATTCGGTACGAATCGTGATGAAATCTGTGTTTGCTCAAATACTCGCAAGATGCTTACTCAATGACGTTATCATTTTTCACTGATTTTTGCATGAGAGCAATGCCATCAAATACACAAGAAACTTTTACGAGAAGCAGTTGAAAATCCTTGAAGTGAAAAAAAACACGCACAATTGAATAATTTATTTGGTTTCCTCACAATTTCCTGGGCTAATTATGTTGTGAAGAAAGAGTCAAAAGTTGTTCATCTTCTGTGATATTAAGAAAAATCAAAGACTGATAGCAAGTGTATTTAAATTTAAATACGAAGTCGAGACGAATGTATTAAAAAGCTGTGAACGAGACTGACTTTGTGTGAGGAACAATTTGTCTTGTTCATTTTTCTTTCCAGAAATATAAATAAAAATTGCGATAAGAAAACACGCAATGTGACTTTGTAATACTTCTTGAATATCATTAATCTCTCACAGACTCAGATTCACTTTCAATGGGATTTGAGGCGTTTTTTTGAATTGTGGTTTGACGATCAAGGACTGATTTCTGTTGATCTTGTGTCAGTTCAGAACATGCACAATGAATCTCGGCATCATTATTGCATATCTCAACTCGACAATTTCCTCTGAAATATTTCACTGGAAAGACGGGTTTTTCTTACAAATCACTCTCATGGAAGATGAAATCCTACATTTTTATCTTTCGCTGCAATTTAATGCATTTACATTTCAGCGCTACACATAGCAATTTATCTCTATCACAGGCAAAGGCGAGTTGGTAATGAAATTGACGTGATCTCTCCAGACGGACGAGCATCTCAGCCAAAGAGTGAATGTGCGGAAAATTCTAGAGTCTCTCGGCTCAGCCTCAGAGCACTGCTCTGTGATAATCATAACGTTCAACATTATAAAGCATTGAAGGCATTGGCTGAGAGCTGTGCGGGAATGAATAAGAATATCTCGTTAATTTCCAACGCAAAAACTCCTCTCCGGACTACGTGACCCAAAAATGCTATAACTTATGTACATCGAATTGAAAATGTACGATAAAAGTGAGGAAGCTTGAGCATTTTTTCCCGTCACATTCACGCGTAAAGATCGTCAATTGCTGGGTAATTCTCATAGAGAAGAAAAAAGTACAGAAGGCGCAATTATTTTCTCCGACGACATTAATAGCAATCGATGCATAAATTAAGGTAATTGCCACCTTTATGGCTTTTTCTTGAGAAATATTGCATCTTCTCTTGCTATTTGGCGGTTACATTCAACAGGAAATGTTATGAAAAATGTGCACGATGAGACTTTCACATGGGCTCACATTGACAAAACAGACACAATAGTTCAAGTGTGTGAATTCAATTCAATTCAATTAATTGCATAAGCCTCAAAACAAGAAGCCTTTACTAATCGTCCATCGCCAGACAAGTTTTACTTTCCTTCAAACTCTGTATTTCCACTCCATAAATTCACCCGCTTCGCCTCCAATGTCCACTCAAGAGGCGGATAATTAAACATTTTCAGGTGTTACGATTGTGACTATTTTGCCAATGAATTTAAACACAATAAGTAGAATTATCAAAGAAAAAGGGTTTTAAAAGAAAGGAAATGAAATTTAATCACACATTTGAGGGTAAAATGTCAATTTTTTCATATTTGTTTCAAAAAATTCACGTTTTGAATAAGCATTTTGCATGCTTAGGAGTCGTTGCATCATTATGTTTTGTATTTCAGTTCGTAAAAGCTATGAATTTGTCTTGCAACTTTACTCTCATGGTATGTTTACAACGCAAAGAGTTACAAATACTTAAGAAAACCAATTAGTTTCCTTGAAAGAAGGGTAAAAGGATGTCCGGAGACACATAACCTCAATTTAGTGCATTGAGATGTGCACAAATTAATAGATAAATTCATCCAATCTGTCCCAATCAATCTAGATCTAATGTTATGAGAATAAAGTTGCAACACTTCTTGATTCTCAGATTCGGTTAGTGATTCGCCCCTTGAAACCAAAAAAAAACCCATACAAAAACATCCCCGGCACATTTCTTTTAAAAAGCCGGAGTGTTTTATCGCTCAAAGAGGCGAATGTGTTTCCCGGCATCGTCGTCCACTATATATTTCTAATTCATGGGCAGCATTTGCCCGATTATTTGGCTGTGGGAAGTCAAAGATCATTTCAATTGAGCGCTGCTTCGTCTCAAGAAACGAAAAGTGAGTCTTATTTCCATTACTCGCGCGATAAACGAAACAAAAAGCGGTCTTCGGGAAGTGCACTGGGCGAGAAATATTGTAACAATTTTAATGCTGAATATGTGTTATTTGACGCAATAATGCCGGATTCTCTCCATGTCAATTAAGCTATTTTCTCTAACATTCAATACTCACGCGCTTAGAGATAGATAATATGATGAGTTTTACGTTTCCAGAGTGATTGTGCGGGTTCTGCTGATGTTGAATTAAAAATAAATTCACACTCTTTCGCTTCTTTTATCACAGAAGATTCACGCGAGCCTCTTTTCTCACTCCATCACTTCCAGTTGATCATCTTATGTGCAGAAAACGCACTGTTTCACGTGTTAATTTGTGGACTTTTCACCATCACCCACTCACTATTGACGTCGTGCAGCGCCTTTTGTCACTTTTCAGCTGATTCAGCACGGAAAATTGGGCTATTTCTTCACTACAATTCCTTCCGATGCGAATTCCTTGCGCTCTCGCCGAGTCACTTGATTGAATGAATAGAGTGTACAGACTCTATTTACCCTACGCAGACTCCGAAGAGTCCAGTCGGCGACGTGACACGACCGACTATATGCCCAGGAAGACGTACAGCGATCTCCCTTCCGCCCATTCTCGCTGCCATTCACTCCGGCTGTTCATTCGAGAGCACATTTGGTCGATAGCGCGGCGGCTCGAGCGCCACAATGTGGTGGGCAAAAGTACAAGCTGCACAGCATATGCTGCGGAGCACGGAAGTACAGCGACGAAAGGAACGTGAGATGAATGCAAATGCTCAACTTGCACGCCTTCGCGCGCAGAGAATTTTGGAATTTATAATAACGACCTCTGGATTTCATTCAAGTTTCAATTTTTCACGACAATTCACCTTCAAACAGCTGTGAAATTCTTTGCAATCTTATTAAGAGGAGGAACAGATGAATTTCTCTCCCAGAAAAGTGGTATTAAAACATTTTTATGGTTACACCAGAGACAAAACATCCACTTTGAGTCCATTAAAAATTCAAATAAACCGCATTCACTTTCCTTTTCCACCAGAAAAAAAATGTGAAGACAGTGTGAGAAAGAGCAACAATAAGCGCGATATGCTTTAATTTTGCTGGCTTTTGTCTATTAACACAGATATTTCGGAAATTTCGCACATTTTGCTAGTGGAAAATGATGGCATAATAGCTGCAAATTGAGTGTCGGTAATTCAAATTGAACTTGATATTGAATTTTCACGCAGAGTTTTAACATTCTCCTCATCCCTTTGGCCATCATCATTAGTATTTCTCGTGCACAATTGGCCACTCGTGGCGGGTCAATGATTTCCTTCGCCGATGATAATAACCTTTGGCGGTTTGATGGCTGGCAGCGACTGAAGGTCAGATGTCAGGCGGGATTTAAATCTTCGTGGGCGTCCATCAATATTATTCAGTGGTCACTGTCGCTTCGCTCAGTTGAACTTTCTTCTCGGTCTGATGACTCCGAAAAGGGTGACGATTAGTCTGCAATTCCCACAGTTAAATCATTTTATTTCATAAAACGAGCTGAGAATTCTCAATGAGTGACATTAAAATGGCAAATTAAGCTCTTAAAATTAGTATAAATGTGATAATTGTGTCTCAAGTGGATTTTGATGAAATTAATTTATGACCAGCAATACCGAAGGTATGAAGCAATTAAAGCAGACAAATATTTCTCCATCTCCAGAAATTCCGTTGCTGGTTTGCCAGGAAATTTCTTAAATTAGAAAATCATTGCAAAACTGTCCCTTTTTAATGCTTTTTTGCTTTTTTGGAAGGTTTTCTAGGTCAGACTGCAAATTTCGCCCATATTTGACAGAAAATGCTTCTGGTTTTGCATAAAAACTAATTCATTAAGTAACAAATCACTCTTGATTATTGATTTATCGGATTAAAGATTAAATTGGTGAAAAGTTGTACAGATAACTTTGTTGAAAATTTTTATTTATTTACAGCACATCGATATGAATTGTGGCATAATAAAAGATTGAATTACGACAAAGTGTCGTAGAAATTGTTCAAAATTTCATTAAAAAAACACTCTTTTGACACTAGAAATGTTGCAAAATCCTTTTCCAATGTCAGTCAAATAGGATTACTGATGCTTAATTGGCTCCTATTAATTGTTATGCTAACGATGTGCCAATTTAACTTATCACGAGCGATATTTGAAATTCACCAGAAATGAAACAGTGTAAAATATATGATCTTTGCAACAGAAATGTTAATCTTGTCTTGTGAGATGCTATCATTATTATTATTTGACATTTATGCAACTCATTTCCATATGTTTTTATCTTATTTATTATCAAGAGCTGCGACACAATGAATTCCTGTGAATTTCTCGATTTTCCCTGCAATTTCTGACCATTTCTTCGGGAGACCGTGAAAGTCTTGGCTTTGTTACTCAATCTTGAGGTGAGCGGTAATTGTTGAGGAAAAGTGTTTATTTTGACTGACGATGGCCCACATTTGGCGTGTTGTCAGATGTGTGAGAATTGGTGTAGCGCAGCAGAAAGAGTTGCAAGTGTCCCAGATAGCGAGAGGTGGATTAATTAATTGAATTAATAATTTATGCGCTTCACCTCCCACCAAAACACCGAACAATCGCGCTCTTGTTGGCGCTCGATGAACGTGTGCAAGAAGTTTTGGTCGTCAGTCGATGCTTTCCATTCCACCTCGTCGTGTGTGACTTTTCCCGTGTCGCAGCGATTAACACCTGCGATTCAGAGACGCGTCGGAGGAAATTCCACTCTCATCGTGATTGCAGTGCAGCGCAGATAATGATAATAACAATTATAATCATGAAAGTGGAGTGAAAGGACGGACAATGAAGAGTTGAATCTTGTGTAGTGAGAGGACAAGAAAAGTCGAATTTCTGAAGTGGTTGCAGAGGAGAAAAAAAAAAGACTTTTCGGTCAATAATGCATAAATTACCAATTCTTGACCACTTTCTCTGCCAACCAGCAGCACGATCAGCGCGTCAACAAGCCGTGAATATGTGATTCAGACAGAAGAGCTTCTTCTGTACGCGACAAATTTCAAAGTGAGGGCCCAGAAAGTGACGCAATTTGCATCTTACGCATAATTTTTCTCCCCAGATATTGCACATGTTGAGCAATTGTGCCATAAAAGCTGTTTGGCTGCAAAATATCACCAAAAACCTTGATTAAGTCTCAAAACTATGTCGCTCGCATCCAATGATCTTCAAAGTAGGTTTTTTTCGCCGTCATTTCTCACATGATTTTCTGTCATTTCCACAATCACAAACCAACACTATGTTGCGGAGTCTCTTTGTTTTGTCGGTTTTGCCAAGGGGAAGATAATGTGGCTAAAATCTGTACATCATTTCCACAATTTGTATGAGATATCAATGACACTTTCCACGACTTCAGACTTCATGGATTGTTTTAATAAATCTAAAATCAACTAATAACTGGAATCTGACCAAAATCTAACTGACAACTTTAAAATTCACGTTTTCATACAATATTTTATGATTTTCTTCTTCTAAAACTGTAATTTTGCGTATTTTTCTTTATCATTATCATTTGATTGGAACTATTTCACTTCCTAAACCTTCTTTTTATCTGTACACCACTTCTGGCCATATTATCTCTCCCTTGGGTTTTTTTTCTCAATCTCTCTTCTCACTCAATCTCGTTGGTGAATTGCCATCGTTTTTAATTCGCGCTGACAAGTTGAAATGAATGGAAATGACTAATAGAGATGATGATTATTGTGCACAAGCGGAGATAAGTATCGATTAACCTTGCGCTGGGTTCATTGCACAATTAACAGCACGTCTTGGTGGCTTTTGGGGACAAAGTGGCAATAATCCTGAGGGTTTTTCACCCAAGATCTTTGGGTGGAAATCCACTCGTGCAACTTCCTAATGATCTCAGGAGATTTTGCAGCGCAAAGTTTGAGTTGAAGTTGTGATTCTGCGATGTGCGGAAAACTAATCAGAAATTCTCTGCAGCAAAATCTCTTCCGTCTGACCAAATAAACCCATCCATTCAGCCCTGTGTCGCCGTGTGAGTGCCCAAGAGAATTAATTTGCATATCATTTGATTACACCACACTAATGCCATTAGGTCGCTCCGTGCGTGGCTGTGGTCAGTTATCAGCCAATTGGCCCAACTTTGTCGTTCAACCCCCGAAAAGTTGCACCAAATTCGCATTTTGGCCGAGCAATTCCTCACATTTTGCACATGTGATGATCTGCAGCATTGATCCACTCGATGTTACAAAATTCATGCTGTTGGCGAGCATTATAAAATCATTTTATAGATAGCTACAAAGTGACCTGTCGCCTGAAGTTGATTTTTATGCTGTGAAAAACGATATATTTTTCTACTTAATTGCCTTTTGGACTTTATTGTGCACATAATTCCATCCAAAGCACGTTTATCAAGATAGAAAAATTTGCGCAAGATTCCTGATCTTGACGATAAGTGACATTGTGCAATTCGCATTTAATTGAAACATTTCGTTTTTTAATAACAGGCAAAGAGAATTTTCTTTGAAATGACATGAAATTTGTAGTTTTGCACAATTGTGCAAATATATATTTGACATTGACTTATCCAAAGTTTCCTTTCATGTTAGTTTAATCTCTATTAATAAAGAAATTGGACATTTAGGTCAACAACTTGATAATACTCTGTAGTGTAAAAAATAACGTGTTTTCCAACATATTCAGAGATATTTACGCGATGATAAATGGACTAAAAATATTTCATTTGATAAACTTGAACTCAGCCTCTCAATTCTCATGCTTTTATTTATAATTTGAGAGTCAATCCTTCGTGCAAGTCATCGTCTTTCTACGAATGCCTATCATTGGAGATAAGAGACAATTTGCAAATTAACCTTTTCTCTAACAATTCATGCCAAAAACACACTTCCAAAATTCCAGTCACATTAATCAACATTAGATAGCTTTATCTACTTTTTTTGTGTGCAGCAATTTGCTTTAGAAGTGACACAAATACATATTCGTCTATTGTGAGATGTGTTTATAAAAACTCGTTAATAACCAGCGAAGAATAAAAAAAAATTTTAATTGATTGCAAGACGTTAGAAAAACATGTTGTTTCTGCAACATTGTAAACAATATAAAAAATTCCAGACAGATAATCTATTGGAAATTGCCTCGGAAATTGCTTTTGTACCTTAAATAATAATTAATAATATTTTCTAGCGAGATTCACGTGAGCGGAATTCGCTGCTGAGACTGAAATCTTTGTGTCACACGCCGAACCCCCGCGAGTGCGGAAATCTGCGTATCGCTGAGTCTTTCTTTATTGTTGACCTGTGTTGTTACTGATAAACCTCAGGCGCTGTTCATTGCGCTTATATTGAACGTAATTCGCAACAAATACGCGCAGAAATGTCGCATCGCAATATGGTTGACGGTTGAGTGTATCGATTTGAATTGGTGGTGGTTTTCTGTTTGTTGAGATCGGAAAGCACAATAAACAGCCGGAGAGGCAAGTCGTCTGGGTAGTCAGACTCAATTTCTCATTCAGTTCTTGTCTGTCGCTTCAGCGCGCAACATTGTGCCTCTGGAGTGATCACAAGTGAGCGTGATTACCAGTCGTGCTGCGCACAAAGAGCCATCGCATATGATAGTTACTAAATTGGTGCGGAAGTGTTGTGCCACGGACGCGCATCTGCCATGGAATACTCGCTCGGGTGGCTGGTGGCGCTGCTCTGCATCCACCAGTGCATCGCCCTGGCGCACAACAGTGTCGTGAGTGGATACCAGATTGGCGTCGGACGAGCCGATTGCACGGGCCCACCTGTTGAGATTGCCTTTGTGAGCCGCTGTTTTATCCAATCTCTGGCTCTCTGCAGCATCACTAACAAACCCTCTTTCTCTCCTCCTTCCCCCTTCCCCAGATGGGATACGCTCAGTTGTCGCAGAAAGGCGAAGGCATTCATCTGCGACAGTTCGCCAGAGCCTTCATCATCGACGATGGGCAGAAGCGAGTGGTGTTTGTGAGCGTGGATGCTGGGATGATTGGGAATGCGGTGAAGAGGGCCGTGCTGCAGCAGCTGACAAAGGAGTTCGGCAGCATTTACCACCGTGACAACGTCCTCATCAGCGGCACGCACACACACAGCTCGCCAGGAGGCTTCCTCACCCACCTTCTCTACGACTTGCCATGCCTAGGATTCATCAAGGAGACCTTCAATGCCCTAGTTATAGGAATAGCCAAAGTGAGTTCACTCAACTGCACGCAGTTCTTTGTCTCATTTTTAGCCCTAGATGAAAGATTCCCTCAATTCCTTCTCTGTCAATTATTAAAAGTGTGAAATTTGGGAGGCCAAAGAAGTGAGAGACTTCAGAGAAGATTTTTGAATATAAAAATATGATTGTTTTCTCACTCAGCTGGAATGTCTCTCAAGTGCATTTCTCAGTGCAGCGACACACAGACATACTTGAGAAAATAATTGATTCACAAAGAACATGATGTTGAGAGGGGATTAATTATAATCTATTGACTTTAGATACGAACGCTTGCAAAGAGTTGCTCATTTCTGTTCAACGTCAAATATCGTTTGCAATATTATTAAAATATCAATAAAATTTATCGCTTTTCACCGTTTGACGAAATCATAAAACCTGCTAATAATTAATTTCAATATAAATTTCGGTAAAATTTCCTTTATTAGCTTGAAAACAAGAACATTTTGAATAACTTGATATTTAGTGCAAAGTTTCAAGTTGAATTTGGAGCATTTTGTTTATCAGATTGCATGGATACTGTAAACAATGGACACTCTCAAGTTCATGTTCGTCTTGAGAGCTTCTAAAGCTTCAAAGTAAGCTTTTGCCCTTCAACAATGTGTAATTTCCCATCAAACACTTCATAACAATTAATTTGGTTAATTTAATCAGCAAATCAATTACATCGTTTCGACAGCAATTTCACCCAATCATGGCCGAGGAAATTTGCATTGAAAAGGCATTTCTCGAATACATTCATGTCCATTGATGAGTAAGCAAATTGTTGACTAATCACTGGTCCTAATTGCAGAGCATCTCTCGTGCCCACAAAAGTATGACCGACGGCCGATTGTTCATATCTGAAACTGAGATCTTGGACGTGAACATTAACCGGAGTCCATCGGCGTATCTCAACAATCCCGAGGAGGAGCGCAGCCGGTACAAATACGATGTTGATAAGACGCTCACGCAGGTGCGCTTCGTGACGTCCAGCGGCAGAATCATGGGCGCCATCAATTGGTATCCCGTGCATCCCACGTCCATGAACAACACGAACAAGCTCATCTCCTCGGACAACATGGGCTACGCGGCCGTGCTGCTGGAGCAGGAGTACAATCCGGGCAGTCTGGTGGGTCAGGGAGAGTTTGTGGGCGCCTTCGCGGCCGCCAATCTGGGTGACGTGAGTCCCAACATCATGGGACCAAAGTGTCAATTCACGGGCGAGTCCTGTGACGTGCTGACCTCCTCCTGTCCCGCCAACGCCGGCCAGTGTTTCGCTTCCGGCCCGGGCAGCAACATCTTCGAGAGCACGAAGATCATCGGGACGCGCATCTACGAGGGCGCTTCGCGGCTGCTGCATCAGCAATCTGGCGAGGAGATTGTCGGCGAGGTGAATTACATTCACCAATTCGTGAACATGACGCAGATGAAGCTGAAGCACTTCAATCCCAAGACGAAGACCGTCGAGGAGGTGCGCGGCTGCTTTCCCGCCATGGGCTACAGTTTCGCCGCCGGAACCACGGACGGTCCGGGCGCTTTTGACTTCCACCAAGGCACCACGACGGACAATCCACTGTGGAACGCCGTGAGGGACCTCCTGGCCGAGCCGACGAAGGATGACATCAAGTGCCATCATCCCAAACCCATTCTGCTGGCCACGGGAAGGGCGAAATTCCCCTACGAGTGGCAGCCCAAGATTGTCGCCACACAGCTTCTCCAGATAGGCGACGTAGTTTTCGTGGCAGGTGAGGATTTTTAGTACCAACTTCCTCTGAATGAATCTCTTAAATTTCCATCCGATCCATCCGAATCGACGATTATTTGTTGGAAAAGAAGGACTTAGAAGCCTGAGTAGTAATAATCTGTCTTCTCAGTGAGATTATCCCTCTCTTGGACAATTAATCCCTCGACAGAGATGCCTTGATTGCCTCTCATTTGTTTATCCAGCGCCTGGAGAGTTCACCACGATGAGTGGACGAAGACTGAGGAATGCAGTGAGGAATGTCGCCCTTCAGACCTACGAGAAGGACGTCAAGGTGATAATCTGTGGTCTCTCCAACATGTACACCAGCTACGTGGCGACTCCTGAGGAATACACGGTGAGCTCATCCGCAGATTAATGGACGGGGGCAAAGAAAGTAATTGCAATCGATAAGCATCAGTGCAACTCGGCAGAGTGATAATATTAATGACAGTGGGAGAGCAAGAACTGCTGCAAATGCACATGTATTGATTTTTCCTGAAGATACGTGAGTCACTGTAATTGAGAACTTCCCGAAGAGCATCTAATTAATCACAGTGCAGCAATTGAGGTCATGAGATACTGCATTAGAAGGGGTTGAAATTCAATGCTAGCAATTTGCAAATAACATCTAACATTGTGTGAATGTAGAAATCAATTTAACAGCAATTTTTCCTCACAAATTGATCCTCTCACCAGAGCCAACGATACGAAGGAGCTTCGACGCTCTTCGGTCCACACACGCTCACACTCTACGCGGATCAATTTGTCAAGCTCTTCCTGTCGATGAAGGGCGAGGAGAAGATCGATCCGGGCCCAGAACCGCCTCATCTGGAGGACAAGAGTCTCCTGACGCTCCAAACGGGCGTCCTGTACGACGGCCATCCGTATGGGCACGACTTCGGCACGCTGAAAGTCCAGCCGAAGGCGCACTACGTTCCCGGCGACACAGTGCGGGTGGTTTTCATAGCCGCGAATCCGCGGAACAATCTTCTGCACGAGGACACATTCCTGCGCGTCGAGAGGCGCGACGAGGCGAGGAATGTGTGGACAACAGTGGCGACGGACGCCAACTGGGAGACACTGTAAGTTTTGGGTGTAATCCAATTACTGGAGCTTCTCTGCTCACCGTTGTCAAATTGCAGATTTCGCTGGACGAGAACGTCCATGATTCTGGGCTTAAGTGATGTGGAAATACTCTGGGAAATTCCATTAGGCGCCACACCGGGAACGTACAGGATATCCCACACGGGCTTCTATCAGTACATTTTCGGCGGCAAATTTCCCTACAATGGCACAAGTCAGGCATTTGCTGTGGATCAGGAAGGTTAAATTGCACCAAAAGTGTGTGCATGAGAGAGAGAAAGATAATTTATTTATCAGTAAAAGTGTGTTATAATGCTAGTCAATCAATTTGAGCATTGTGTTTGACTCTTTCGGATAGTATATATGTATGTATCAATAAAAGTAATCGCGAATTTTTGCCAAAACAGCGCGCTGATTTTTATTGTCCAACTAAATTACGCAAATTAGAGGCACTAAATTATATATTCAATGAGAGGAAATTCATTTGCGCAAAAACGATGTGGAGACTTTTTTCTTTCCCTCGAAAGCACAGTCGAGACGTGAACCCATCTTAAGAGGCACTCTTTTAACTTGAAATGTGTGATGCTATGCTTGCAAAAAAACACATTGTATAGAATTTTTCCACGCTTTTACCTGTGATTTTCACGGTCGATGCTTAAATATTTGTCCAGCAGCCGAAATGCGCCTGTTTGCCACAGCGGCGAAAGGGAAATACGTGGGGGAGCTGATAAGAGAGATTCAGCACAATGTGGTGGTGAGATAAAGAGCCGGAGACTCTCTGGGCGACTGACTTATTTAAAAGGCAATCCACCAGGTGAGATAATTAAAATTACATTCGTGCGGCGAGCGATTCAGGACGTGCTTCAATTAATTTTGCATCTCCCAGACTCAGTTGCCTCACCATTGAGAAAGTCTGGAGGCCGTAATGAGGAGTTTTATCACTGTTCCGGCACTCCTGTGCCTCATAATTGCAGCTTCGGTAATTAGATTCGTGGACAGTACGTGCGATGTCTGCTCCGCCGCGTCCATCGCCTGCGAGAGTGAGACACAGTTCAGGCCGTGCACAAATGGTAATTAAACAGTGCTCAAGGATTAAACTCCACCGCGAAATCCCTTATATTATCACATCGATTGCCTCTCCGCAGGAGTGCCTGACGCCGCGACGCTCTTCGTGTGTCCCACGGGCACTGTGTGTACGAGTTCAAACTTCTACTGCGAAGACGCCGGCGTTCCGGATTGTCAGCTCTGCGGCGTGTGCAACGCCGATGGACGGTTTGCGTGCACGAGCATGACCACATTTGCGCTCTGCAGCGGAGGTGTTCCAGGCAGCGAAACGTACTCCTGTCCAGTCAACACTGTGTGTGACCTGAATGCCGTGCTACCGAATTACTGCTCCACGGACGACGGCAATATCGCCACTTGCGATCCATCCGCCACCGAAACCCCGACGCCGACAGGTGAGTCCTTTCACGAAATGCTGACAGGCGAGAAATGTGGCTAAAATACACTCGAGGACGGACAATTGAGGTCGTCTAGAGAACTGTGAATGAAGCACAAATGCAATCCTTGTGCGGCAAATGCAGAACAAACAATCCATTCTATATAATATCTTAAGCATTGTCTTGAAAATGAGTCTAAATGCGCAATTTTCCATGGTTACCTTAAAAATTACCCTTGAAAAGCTCCGGAAAGTACCACGATTAGCATTTCACAACATCGTATTTATCTAATGTTATCAAAATTATGCAAATAGACTTACGAGTTTTACGAAATTTTCATGGGAAAGTTTTGCACTTCGGTTCACATCACGCAATGAAATTTAGCGTCTGTTTGCTTAAGGCAACTCCGATGCTTTAACATGGTCTAATTTCTTAATTTTTCAGACACAACGAGCACTTCAACAACCACCACAACTACCACGACTACTACGACGACTACCCAGGCGACAACGACGCCCTCGCCGACGGAGTGGTGCAATGCCAAAGGCACAGTGGGACGCTTTCCTGATCCGACGGACACAACGTGCAAAAAGTGAGATTAACTATTTACAAGGCGCAGATAATATGCCATAAAGTCTGTTCGACACTTTCTATCACCTTCACAATTTCTGTGCAGAATCTTTAATGCTTCAGATAGTGTAGAAATGTCCTAGTTTTATCGTAAGTTATGCTTCTTTTCGTAACATTTTTTTGAAAGCATAAAAAACTACGATAATTTGCTCATTTCGCCACGCTGTATTTGTAAAATCTAAGCTCTTTTGCACAAATACGGGAGTTCTTAGTGTTATTTAAAGGCGAAAAACCTACTCTAGTGATCCAAATCATGCTTGATATTACTTATAAAGCTACAGCTTAAAGTTAGAGTAAAAATACGATTTAGAAAATTGTTCCTCAGTTCGCTTTGCTAAATCCAGCGCGAAAGAAAGCAAGTGAGCAAACGAATTTATGTATTGCAAATATTTTCACATTTTCTTACCTTTTCCGGTGAACTGTACACCACTGCCAATGATATTATCTGCACCTTGCGGTGTTTTACTGTTTATTTGAATATTATTCTCCGCTTCGCAGCTACTACTATTGCTTCGCCAGCAACGGTGCGATCGCGGGGGCGCCGTACTCCTGCGTGGGCACCACCCTCTTCAACCCAGCCCTGCAGCAGTGTGTGGCCTCCACGGCGTTCCAGTGTCCCGTTCCAGTGGCATAAATTCTCGCTGGATGGAAATTGCCTGGGAAATCCAATGATGCCAAGAGTGCTTCCTTTTCTCCGGCGGCAGGCAAATAATGAATGAATAAAAATTATTTATCCCCAAACGCGCGGCGGACTGAAGCGTTTCATCTTGTTTATTCACCTTCTCCACCTGATGTGTTTCAGGGGTTTCAGGGGGTGAAATTCCACTGCGCGCGGTGGCGAACAGGTGGGGTGGAAAATTCCCTTTGAACTCCCACTCGAAGCACTTTTCTTGTGATTAAATTCCACCGAGTGTTGCGGGCGGCAAAAAATATGCCAAAGTCAAATGGAATCTATTCCCCCGTGGCGTCATTCATCTGTTGCTGTGCCTGAGATAAAGCCAAGAGGGAGAAAGTGGGGGAAATGGTGCTGAGGGAAAAGCATGTGCATATTTGAAAAGGAAATATCACCTTGAAATGCTAATGCGGAGATATTTAAAATATCACAGCTGTTCAGAGACACCACGAAATACCACAAAACGACTGCAAGTTTACGTGTCGTATCACTTCGGAGTCAGCTCAATTCTTCGTTTGCTCCTTCGATGGAAAGTACGTGATATTTTGCTATATTCACGCAATTTTTCTCCTTCTTGCCTCCCTTCAGGATGATGTTTCACGCAAAGTTTTACAACTCAATAGGAATTGTTGCAGTTTTTCTTACATCCCCCGCCCGAGAAAAAAAACCATGAAAAGAAACGTGACTTTTACACCTTCAATCGCTTTGAAAACCGAAATTCCAACATAAGTCTACACACAAGTACGTGACTATTTGAATGCTTTCTAAATTAATGTAGGGTTGGCTGAGCAAGAGACGATAGAGAGTGTGGGAAGAGCAGAGAAAGAATTGAGAGACTCTTTTTGCCATTTCAGCAAATTTAAGCCATTTATGAAAGTGCCAGAGATCTCACACCACGGCGCGCACTTTCATCGGTGCAAATGGATCCGCTGAGAGGAGACGAAAGGAGCGAGGTGAGACTCCAATCAATACACACCCCCCGTTGGGGGTGGGAAGATAGAGAGCGGTGGGAATTTTAATTGTTGGAAATCCTATTCCGTCCCCAGTGTGAATTACACGCCGTCGTCCGAGCCCTTTTCCCTCTTCTTCCTGTGACTGGAGCACTTCACACTTGACATGCTTTTCGTGTTATCGCTTCCCCGCGGGTGGATTTGTGTGTAAATTTTTATAGAATTGACGCGTTGTCTGGAGATGTTTCAGCACATGACACGCATTCATCTAATGAGCGCGCTCATGCACCTTTTCCTCCCCCCTTTTCCACGCAATCCTGAGACTCTTGAGAACCCCGCGCTCAAGAGACAAAACGACTTTATATTTAGAACCCACGAGGGAATTGATCCATCTGCTTCTTCGCTCTGCACGAGAACGCGCGGCTTGAGTTGATGATTTAGCTGAGCGACAGCGCGATCGCGGACATCTGTCGAAGAGACTGGAATGGATGTTAGAATATCTTAGACTGATTCGATGTGACAAGGACAAAATACACTCTAATAAATCGTATAGACGCTGGAGAGATTCTCTTCACTTTGGATGTTTTTTAAAGAGAAGATCTTTCAGAAAAGATTAGAATTACTCGATATGAACAATTTATTCTGGGATTTTGCAATAAAACCTGCATTTTCGTGATAAAATACAGTGATTTCAAAGAAAATAACTCCACTTAAAGCTTTGAAATACATTGAAGTGCTGTAAATTTCCATGTGAAGCCAGAGATACGAATTTTTCCATAAATCTTCCCCCATTAATAACTAATAATAATTACCATGCAGAGTTTCAAGTCGTTAGTCGGTTCATCCTTAATCCGTATGGCACTGAAACGTACCTGTTTGTGCTTCTCAGAAGCACATTTTATTCAATCTGAGAGTATATTTTTTTTAATTAGAGTTTTTCCTACAATTTTCCACTCTTTGAGTGCATTTTTCAACAAAGAAGAAAGTGAGAATATCAAAGACGGTAAACAGTAGAAGAATCTTGTCTTATTTGTCAAGACAAATAGATTCTGGCAACTGAAATTGAGTAAAGTTTCACAATTTCATCCAAATTCATTCACAGACGAGAAATTCGCGTGTGCCAAAGGCCTAAGAATGATTAAATTATCTCAAATTGACTGAAAAACCTATAAATCTCTTCCTGCCTAACGCGAAATGATGTCCAAATTGTCCAAACAATAACGCATTTATGGCAGAAAAGGACTCTATGGGCCGAAGGACGATGAATTAACAAATATTTCCACTCAGGCCATTTCGATGTCTCGCTGATGGTGCGTTGTGTGTGTGTGTGGGGAATAAATTCCGAATGGGGAAATATCAGGCGAGCAGATATGTATTAGAAAAGATTTATGATCCAACTTTTGTACTTCTTTTTTTTCCTCCTGTCTTAGCATATCTGCGAAAGCTCATCTGGCACCAGATTCAGTCCCAGAGTGAACACGCGCGTGCTAAACTTTCATCTGCCTTTTTTCCCAGCGCCCACGACGATGTGAGAAACATTCGTCTTATGTGTTTCGATTTCATTATTCATCGTGTACATAACTCGATAACGACAGTTGTTATAAACTTTGAGGTAATTCTTATTCAAATGAATGCGCCGCCGTATTCATGACTCCTCCGTCGGTGCTTTTTTTGCCACACACACACCGCGTCACAGCCGAAAAAGCCATTCCCGTGATCTCACCACGGGTCGTGCCCCGGTTTTTTGCCCTCCCTTCCATTGGGGGTGGTTCGTTCAATATTTGCTCTCAAACATCCACTCGCGTGTGAGGTTGGAAAGAAGTGCGGCGCAAGATGAGAGACTAAAAGCTCCCGCCACTACCGCAAAAGCAACGAGGGTGGCGGCGGTGGAGACGGGAAGTGTGGGCCAAGATCCGCGAGTTGGTGGCGCAGTGATTTGCGCCTAAAGTGGTTTTCACGCGAAATGTGTTTACCAGCCACTCGCACCACATGAAATTTGCACTTTCACCACATTACACCAAGCTATGCCAGCTCAAAAATTTCCTTACAATATAAATAACAATGTGAAGTGGTGGAATACAAAAGTTTTTCCCACCCTCGGCGGCGCACAGATGAAATCACGCGGCCTGTGCAAAGGGAGGGTGTGAGAGAGCTTTAAGAGCTTTATGAGCCACATTAAAAATAATACTCTCATGCGCGTTTAATTTAATTTACTGCCACTGTCGGCTGGAATTTATTTGTCAAGATACCGTTTAACGTCTCCTATGACAGTAAATTCACGCAGTTCTGACGCTCCCAAGGCATTTCTCAGCTCGCCAACAGGCGGCAAATTCTACAATTCCGCTCAATTTCCCGTGAAACGCAAGATGAGAGTGCAGTTAAGGACATAATAAGAACTCTCACATCACGAAATTTGAGTTGTATTCTGATTTCTATAAATAAATTAACACTTTGATGGTTTTGAGTGAGTCTTATTTGAGTTCTTTTCTGATTTATTGTGCATTGAAAAGATAACTTAAAGGTCATTGCAACTTTACTTTCTTATCATTTTAAATAAGCTGTCAAAATTATTAAGATTTATGGATCAATTTCGCGATCTGAAACATTTCAAACGTTGGCGCATGAAGTCAATTCTTTATATTTCGTCGTGAGAAGGCAAGAGAGTCCAGAAAATTCACGTGAAAACCGAAGAAATTCACAGAAATGATGTTTGTTTATAGATCAACATAGATTTATCTGACCAAAATGTCTCAGAAAAGACATTTTCCTGAATATTCTGACCAGCAGAATCCTTTAAGACAGTCTTGTCACTGAGATTCACTATTTCACCCTGTTGAACTGATTCTTCATGTTGAAAACATCCTTCTCTAATTACCGAAAGCTCTTGGAAGTTTCTTGAGATTACTTTGAGAGGAACAGAGAAAATTGTGTTAAACTTACACTGACTTGTCCGGCTGGGAAAGAGCGTTTCGATACCTGAAATTCGTATTCACTTAACCGCCTGAAGGCCGCCAATATTAGCTATGAGATGTGTATAGTTACATATAGTTAATTTGTAAGTTTCATGAAATCTCTAAAGTTGCAACGACTCCTGAAAGACTGTTTTTTTGGTGCTGTTTGCTCCAAATGAAAGCTCTTTCAATTGACAATCTCACAAGCACAAGTCTTTGTATTTACTTTCTCTTTGAGCAGAGAGAGAGAGACCATTGGAGTGTTAATCGACAAGAGCTCTTGTAGAGAAATGTTCCTGGCAGTGACGAGATGCTTTTTGAGGAAACGACAAAATGAATATTCCATAGACATGGATTGGCATTCGGGAAATGCATGTACTGTGTTTGTCTCGCTGTCTCTTAAATATTAACCGCAAAATCTCTGCATGAGCTCCCGAGTGTGGTTTGGGAGACTCTACGTGATTTACTATATAAATCCACTTCTTTATAAATTGCCATATGCTCGAGACAGCCAGCAACCACACAACTGAAGCACTTCAACCCTCTCGAAACGAGCTTCATCTCTGTCTTTTCACTCTTCTCCTCCGCCTCCTCTCCACTGGCACACACGAAAATTTTCACGGGTTTGAGGACACAAAACTATGCAAAAGCTCTAGACTGGGATTTACACATGAGAGAGCGCTCTCCTCCACCCCCCCAAACCACCCACCCTGTCGCCACAACAGCCACTCCATAAATATACGTGTTGAGCAGCATATCGCAGCGAGAAGTTGTTGAGTTTTCCTTTTTATAATAGCAAAATTAAGCACTTGTTTCGCAACTTCACTTTAATTAAATTCCTCACTAAAGTTCTCTAAATTCACATTATGCCAAACTTCTTTGTTGTGGCAACGACGTGACTTGAGCAAGATGCGCAGAGAACCTAATTATCATTGCCAAAGTGACTGTCAATTGGAACTCCGCGGCGCGGTGATGAAGATATCGCGAGGCCGCCGTGCAAAACAACACAGCGAAATTGAAGCTAATTATTATGCTAATCAAAGTCTGTCGGATGTTGACACAAGAGAGCATAACCGAACATGCGTGTAACGCTGTGATAACATTCATGCATGAATTCTTGATCAACTCTTCTGTGAATTTACTGTGATAAATTCCATCTGGCTTTGTGAATTTTTACGAATTTGCGGAGAAGTTTTTGACCAGATAAAAGCCACTCGAAATGTGGTCAATATGCGTGTGTACTTTGAGTTGGAAACTTTGGCCATTTTTCCTACATAATTGAATGCAATTCCGACCAAAATATCCACCCTTCAAAAATTCATGACCCCAATTCTTCTGAGCCATTGAACTAATTTGACAGGCTCTTCCGCACGAAGCCGCTCGGCGTGTTCGTTCTTTTCAAAAAACTTTTATATCGCCATCCGGCAAATTGCACCATGAAATATCAATTTGGCGTGGGTGAAATTTTGTAAATTTTATCAATGCGCCGCAGAGCCAGAGGCTGTTCATCCCACTGGGAAACGCCCTGGTGTGATGTATTTGGCACAATAACAATAGTGTAACAGCTAGTAAAGCCATCCAGGAAGGCATTGCGCGCCTCATTTCGGAGCTTTACGAGCGATGTAACCATTAATTTCTCCACTCCGCCGAAGCACAACATGATGCCTCGGGGGATGTGACATAAACTAACAACGCCAAGCACTCCTCTGGGAGCCATGCAAAATATCGCGTCATTTGCCGGAAATTAATTAGCCTTCTTCTGCAGTTCAACAGAGGATATCAATAGCAATCAATACTGCAAAGTTTAGCAACACAAAGTATGTGTGCATGTGTGTGTGAATCTGTGGTGAAGGCAAAAGGAGTCTTCATATGGATGTCATGAGCAGAAATGTTGCTTTGCAAAGTGGATTTAATAGTGATTCGTGGTGATCAAAGGACAAAGTCAAGCTCTTCCTCTGCCATTGATATCCCCACCTATGGCTGTGCTCGCGAGCATCCTGGAAAAAGGAACTCTTCCGCTCCTTTCTCTCTCTCTCTTCTCTTCAAATAAGAGTGGAGCTTCACCGGGTGAAAAAGGCACTTCTCGGGCAATTACGGTGGAGAATTTTCCCTCGACTAAATGTTTCAACCATAAATTGCTGGAAAATAAAACCCATTTCCGTGCAAATTTAATTTTATTGCTATCGCATGACGTGAAAGAAGTTGCCGTCGTGTTATAATAAAATAGAGACTGACGCGCGAAAGGGAAGGTGTGTGTAATCCTCAGCGCGCATTTTATGAAATACTTTGTGGGCTGCGTTGAAGGAGCAAAGAAAAAAAGCGGCACGAGGAGCTCGTCATTCATGGAGTTTCCCTGATGGGAGTTTCAGTGGATGGGAACAAAAGGAGAGCGCGCGCCTTCCGCAACACAAAGATCAAGTTCCTTCTTTTCACTCATGTCTTTATTTGCCTAGCTAATATAAAAAATATCCTTCCGACAAAAAATCACCCTCCTTAAATATCTCATTCCGCACATTCAACACATTTCATTTTGGTAATTTAAGTTTAATCTATCAATGCATAATTTTTGCAGTGAAACAAAAATAATATTTAGCATCTCTAAACATCACAAATGTCCTTTTCTTTATCAGGACAAAAACCAAGGATATTACAGTGTTTGCTATTAATAATTAAGTTCACATCTTTAAAAAACATTGAATAACACTTCAAACAGCTTCTCTTAAGTGCATCAATTTCTCATCTTATATTTGGCAAAAACAATTCAAAGGAACGCAAATTTCTTTAATTATATACTGCAAAAAGGTGTAGCTTAAAAATGACTTGATAAAAGGCGATTAGATTAGAAGTTCATCATCACTTTCAGTTAGTGTGGCTGGATTCATCAAAAGGCTGGCTTCTTCATTGGAAACCTGCAATTTACGACAATGACTTTAGAGAAAGTCTCAACTAAAATTCCCACATGGAATTTTAGCCACAAAATCCTACAAGACTACATAATAACATAAATAAGCAAAATTAAAGCCACAAGAAAATTTCGAGATTTTGGAATCAAACATAAACAAATTTTTTATCAATGTAACACATCCAAAAAAGGTGCCAAGAAAAATCATATGCTGTAGTGAGGCTCATAAAAGTCCTGCAAATCCGAAAGAAATAAACGTATTGGTTTTGATACTGTTTAAATGTGTGGAAAATGGAAAAATTGTGTCTTAATCTACTGGATTTTGGTCAGTATTTTAATCATAAAAATAAAAAATTAGAAAACAAATCAAAAATAGTGTAAACAACAAGTATTTCTATGATTAAATTGCTAAAATACTGATCAAAATCCTCTTTTTCCCTTTTGAAATAGGATATTTATTTGGAATTAAATAAAAATGATAATTTTTAAAGACTTATTCAACCTAGAAAATTAGAAGAAATTGAAAGAAAGCTTCCAATTGTCCGAATAAACTCAAAATTGCTACTTTAAGCTTCAACCAACTCTTAAAATAAGAGCATCACAGCATACTCTTTAAGAGCAATTCTGAAATTTCTGGAACACAAATATTCTCCAAATAAATACCCATTTCGTTGTACTTAATGAAATTGCATGTGTAATTTGTTCTCATGATTGCAGCATAAAATATTCAATGCGCTCTCAACTCACCCGTGAATACGTGACGTTGGTGTCTTTGCGCCGAATGAGCGAGAGAACCTTTGCACGCCTCTCGGGATCCTTCAGAGCGAAGCCGATGCCGCCGATGCTGCCGAGAATTGCCAACACGATGAACACCGTTCCCACCGCCGACACTCCACCTTCCGCCTCCTTCTTGTCACCGTCCTTCTTGTCCTTGTCCTTGTCCTCATCCGGCGTCGTGACAGATGGCGAGGCCGGCGGCGGATCGAGGCCCAGCATTGAGCAAATCGATGGTGTTTCGTACGTCACCAGAAGACGACCAAGAGTGTTCTGAAAAAAAGTAAAAGACGCACATTAATTTGCTTCAATGGAAAAGTTAAGCACTTGCTTTCCCCACTAAGTATTCGCGGAATCTTCAATATCATGAACTGCAGACACAATTGGATAAGAGATTTTTTCCCTCTGCAGTCTTGCTTTTAATTATCCCTCATGAAGTCTTTCAGCTTTTTCCTCTTCTACAACTTCTTTTTGCTTTTGACTGAACGAGCGGAAAAAATCCTTTGCATCTCGCATTTCTATATAAAATTTCAACAACACAGCTTCACACGATGCAATACAGCACGGTTTTTCCGTTTAAGAACGAGAAAAGGTTTTGTGTTGCGGAAAATCCCTCGAGTCGAACGGAATCGTTCAAACAATTGCAATCATTCGGAAAATTCAATTTTAGAATACGAATTTTTATATCCCGTCGCCAAGCACAATATCGACAATATATATATGTACAATTCCAGGTAATGATTTCAATATAAAACTCGGAGAAAATATTGCAATGTCGAGAGAAAGAAACGGGAGAGAAAAGGCAGCAGTTTTCCTGAATCATACTTCAACTCTCGATCTTTTCTCCCAAACACAATATATGTATGTTGCATCTCCTGAGCGAATGTAAAAGTTTCATACATGCGAAATTGCGAAAGATTACACTCCACAAAAGGACACAATCTCAAGCATTCAGAGAGAAAAATCAAATTCAATCACATTCGACATTGTGCGATAAGACAATGCAAAAGACAGATTCTTCAAATATTTAATCTCCCCAGGAGAAAAAGGACGCGCAATATTGTATTGTCAGTGCAGACTTTCTTCTTCACAATTTGCAACTCACTCGCATTGTTAGCGGAGTTATGATATGTGGTTTTGCGCTGTATGCAAATGATATCCTTCAGAAATATTCAACTTTTCCACTGAATACAAACTCCGCGAAATTCACACTATTTCCCATGCAGATGCCGAGATTAAATCAACTTGCAAATTCCCCAGGATAATACATATTGCGAGGAGATGTCGGTGAAATGCACAAGCTGTACAAATCAATAAATATACCACACAAATATAGCTTATTGCTCAATGGCTTTCATGAAGGCCAGAAACAACACAAAACACACCCAAAGTCGATGAGTTGAGGCAAAACTATTGCGAAATTTAATCCGGAAACTATTGTTGGGAAGCTTCGAAATAATCAATTACCTTAATTGAGAGTTTGTATTGCGAGAATGTTTCCAATTTCCCCCCAAAACATCTCGACACATCGACGAATGGAGGAATATCATCAACTGAATGTGTTTCGCAATTATTGTCGTATGCAAATATCGTACAAATCGATATTTTAATAAGTAATATATTGGTTTTATTGCTGCCATTTCATATGCATTAAAATAGTGAAGTGCTTTCTGAAAATCCCATTCGATAGAATTGCATTTTTAAACCGGAAATAATACATTTATTTTTATGTGAAACCTCAGAGATGCCACATTTTTCCCTCATCCTAGTCAAGATAGAAGTTAAAAACAATTTTTCATAGCATCTTGCCTTGACTAGAAATGAGATCACCACTTAAAATTGTCCTACTTTATGGAAAATACAGATTCAGAAGAACAGAGAATATCAGAGAAAAAAGGCTTTCATTTGGGTTTTCTTACAGTTTTCACGGGTTTTCACATTCTTATATTAGTTTTCTGAGCATGTTCTGAGTTGCAGAATTATCAGAAGAAAGAAAAATGCAGTATTCATTTGCAGAATGTAATTAAAGTCTTGCACTGTTCAATATTACAGAGTCTAAAATAGTCTAAATAAATGGATTTGAGAATAATTATCAAGATAAGACACGAAAGACAGAAAGCATTGATTTGGGGCTAAATTGAGAAATCCGTGACAGTCTTCAAAGTCACTATCAGGATCATCAGGACGGAATGGAAGGATGTCAATTAATTAGTCAATCACACACTGAATTCATCAGATGCAATTAATCTCACGTAACTTGAAATTCAAATTGCAGTCGAATGATGAACGCAATTGATTTAATGCAGATGTTCTGCCAGCACACTTTCAATCATTTCACGTAAGAAATTCAACAGTGATCCTGATTTATCCCTCTGGTTAAGTGGATTTATGCCCTCGGGACGCAGAGCAAAGTTTCTCGACATCCTTCCTGAGAGAGAACCTTGCACGGGAGAAATGGCAGTCATTCATCACTTTCCCCGTGGATGCAGTTCTCAATCCTTCTCGAGTACATCTCGCAAGTAAATATATGAACTCTCCCCGGAGCCACATTGAGGGGATGAATGCTAAGAAGGCAAAATCCCAGCATTCTTAGCACCACCACCTCTTTCATCATCCCTCCAACTTGACCGTAACATCGATAAGGCGAAAGCACAATGACATTTCAACAGAGAAATATATCGATTACATATCGGCAAGCCACAATTTTTCACCACACAAAAGGCATCCATTAAGTGGGACAAATTTAATTTCATTTTCCATCCTCTTTCCACTCGATGACGCCTCGCGAAAGCGTAGAGATATATTAGCTTAAATTAAATATGTGTTTATTGGCAAATTGTCGAGCATAAATTTTCCTGACATTTAATTTAAACTGCTCTTTAATACACACATCATGGTATCACTCTGTTTTGTGTAAAGCTATGCAATACTGACATTTTCCACCACAATCACATGTAACACACATAATTTTTAATTTATATTCCGTCAGGTAGTGTTATTGTCAGCTCCTCAACGCTCCCTCCACGCCCCCGCCCAAAATGCGTCACCACATTCGACCAACACAGCATCTGCATTACAACTTTACATATTTTCCCATACATAACACAGCCAACTACAGAGCAGCGAGAGAAATTGGACAGCAACACGCGTTGTGTATTTTTGCCAATTTCCTATTTTCCCTAATAGCTATAGAGCATAACTTAGTTATCCCTTAGTGTCCCTTTTAGGCGCTCTGCACCGGAGCTGAGTGGATTAAAAAATGCATAAATGTGAAATATGTATGAAATATCATATCTCTCTGTGTCACTCCATTTCATGCACACATCTGTACACACACGATGACACCCTATGCGTGTATATGGCCGGAAAAGTGGTGTTTTTGTTCATCATCCTTGTCAGTGAACATATCCCATATATCATTGTCACATCAAGAGAGAGAGAGAGTTATCTGCTGAGAGCTGTTTTGCTTGAGCTTCTACAAGTGCGCCAAGGCAACTCTACACCACAATTTGTGCATATATCACTTTCACAAGGGAGAGAAACATAGTCAGCGCTCAAAGAACACTTTTTCATCACCCTCGCGCGTCGCTTTGAGCAATTGAAAATTGTGCTAAATGTAAATAATTTGGACAATTTCTCACAATTTTCCTCTCACTGTCATGACATATTATACTTAAGGCAGAATTATTGCTTTGATATTCTGTCACTCTTTCATTTTCATTCCCTTCTATCGCGCAAATTTCCCATGCAAACACACACATCACATTATCCCTCAGATGTGCAATAAAAGCAGCCCCAGAAATCATTTCTATATATGTGCTGAAGTGAAAAATGGTTTGTCTCAAAACTCCTGCTTCACATCTCATCTTTCACAACACACAAAAACCGCACATGAAGCCGTGCACAGAAAGAGATTATGACCAGAGTTACGACTTTCTGTGGTTTTAAAATATTTATGATTTTTCCTTTGATGGCGCACTCATTCCAAAACCCTCCCTCTTAAAACAATAACCCAATAGCGTGAATCCCAACAAAATCGCGCGCGTAAAGTTGTACCGCCAGCGGCAGTGATTGAAATCGAAGATGTTGAGAGACGGAGGGTGGAAAATTCGATGGTTGTTAAAGGGGCGATCCAATTTCATTGATGCCCTCCCGCCAGAAGTGTGCAGAAGTGCCCTGGCAATTTGCAGATAATTTGTAGGAATTTTTCAAAGTAAGCACATTCAATTAATCTCATAAAATGTAAGGCACTCCCAAACTTCCCTTACGACGATACAAGTCTGATCGTTTTATTGATTTTCACACGCTTTCACCCATTTTCCTGAGTGAAGAATCGCCAAGGAGGCAAAAAAGCGTCTACATCAGCTCTCTTATATTGACACTGAAAGTCACCATTTGCACCTCGGATGAGCTTCAATGGAGCTTTTCCAAGGAAGGGAAACAACAACAACAATCTGCACAGGAAAGTCACAATTTGCCAAAGCTCTAGAGAGAGAGAGAGTGTTTCGTGGAGAAGTTGTAAAAGTGACGTTTGACAAACAAACTACCATCGTAAAAAGTATAGTAAGTGCAGAGAGAAATCAAATCGATTATATCCTTTCCACCCCATGTCAGCGGGAGACTCTCTCTTGTGTCCTTTAGCATGTGCTCTCCTCCCCATCCACATATATATTATCTCAATGTGACTCCGAGCAGGAAAATGGCAGAGGAAACTTTTTTATGACAATAACCCATGTGGATCTGACCCATAAGCCATCTGAATCTCATCACGTTTACCAGAATATTAGTCCTATTCTTGGGCACAGCATTGATATCCTGCTAAATACACACAAACACAAACACCAGCAGCTCATCCAATCCCAACGATAGATACAAATATTTACACGTCTGTTGGCACAGCCAGTTCAAGTATTAGTTCATCGCCAGTATGCATGCTAATTTCATTTCCTCACCAGCTTCCGTCATGTATAAATAGCGAAACTGTTTGCAACAATGGAAATACAGCATGACAATTTATCTAGTGTAGCTAAACATTAAATTAGTGCACTTGTGCATTTTCACAGACAAATAATTGATTGTGTTTTACCACCAAAAAACCATGTATTTTTTTTCTCAAAATGAGCGTAAAATGTATTTGGAAATGAAATAAAAAACGTAGAAAAAAACATAAAAATCTACATTTTACGGGAAGTAAAAAAGCGCACGCCAGGTTTTCAGCTTTTTAGTCACAACGATTCATAATTTCAAGAATCATATTCACATAAATTTCATTC